CTGTCGCAGCGAATCAAGCTCACACGGCCAGGACGATTCACACCCTTCTGCCTGTGTCCTAAATGGCTGGCTGGCTGGCTGGCTGACCGGAATGGTCGGAAAATATTCCATAAACCCAATGGATTTCCTGGCCATTAATGCGATTGTAGGGTACAGAAAAAAAAAACCGCACCGTCAAGCAGCTTAAAGAACCGTCAGCTTCCCCTCAAAGGAGGCCATAACAGGGGGGGGAATCGAGTCAAGTGAATGGCAAAAAGGCCAGAGTCATCTCCTAGAGATGTCAATGGACACAGCGTTCTCTCTGTAAGAAAGTAACCAGCTGCCATAACGGGGCTGGACGAGATCTGGGCTTGTTGCCAGCTTGGCTTATTGATTTTCGCTATTTTTTCCCCCTTGGTTTACCTTTACCTTTACTATTTGCGTGGCGCTGACCTGTTGTACTGCAAAGCTCGTTATGGCTACATTGTTTGTATATTGGCAAAGAGCTAACCCGAGAGTTTCTGTACTTCAATTAAAAGTGGAAAGCCATTTTCCAATACACTCTAGAGACCAGGAAGGGGTTTAAATGGAAAAGAGAATGCTGGGACAAGTTACTGGGAGATTTAAATTAACCCAAGAGTTGGGTTCCAACAATTCTTATATTATTTTTTAGCCTATAAAAGTTTTTGGTCTTTGTAAAAATACTTAAAATTAAATAGCAAGCTCCCATCCTTGACAGTTTCTCTCTTATTTCTTTAGTTAAAGGTAATACTTGGCTCAGGGTTAAGTGTGCCACTTTGCAGAGCTCTCCTTACCCCATCCGCGTCCTGGCTTCAATTTGAAATGCTGCATGCAAAAAAATGGGCGCCCAACATTAATTGTCAGCTCCCCTAATTGCCTGTTTTTGGTTGCACCAAAAATCCGCAGCATAATAAAAAGTATCTCTGCCACACGAACCCTTCGCTAAGAATGAATCGGGGTCGGGTATCTGCGATGGTGGCTCCCGAGGCCTGGCCTGGCCGTCCTTAACCCGAGCTGCTGCAGCAGAGCTGACACGGTGACCTAAAGGCGACAACAGCCGCATGCCGAGTGAGGCGGAGGGAGCAGGGCGGATCAGTGGAGTTGCAGGAACACAATGGAGGCCCACAAACAACAAACTGAATGGTTTGCTTTGTGCCCCGTTGGAAAAAGCCACTGGCTGGGCTAATAAACAATGGGCTCGAAAGGGGAACAGGCTAACAGGGAGCAGGGAGTAGGGTCCCGGGAGGCAGGAGCCGGGTTTTTGGTGGCAGACGCATCTGAGACTTCCTGCTACGACTACCACTACTACTACTAGATGTTTTTAGCTGTTTTACGCTTTTAGGGCAATTTGGGGACAACGTGGCGTATGCGTATCGTGTGTGTCGTGTCTGCCTTTGCAGGTGTCAAGTGCCAAGTGTGTAGTTTACCGCAAAGTGCTGGGCTCTCTGTCTCTCTCTCTCTGTCTTTCTACCATCCTGCATGCGCCATGTTTTAGTTTTCATAACCCGAAGCGGTAAAAAAATAACAACAAAAGGACTAGCAGGCAGGGGCCGAGCGCGTTTTCCATTCGACAAAAGCCACTGCGGCAGCTATAATGGCCCAACCGCAGACGGGGCCTTAAATTGTTCAATTCTAAGGCCTTGCCCAGGCATTTATGAGGACAGGACACAGGGAGAACGAGGATGCACAGGCATTGGGCTCGTTAAATGCCAGGGACTGGCTGCCTCAGTCTGGCACTTCAAAAAAGGAGTGAAAGTTTTCTTTGTCAGCCATTAAAGCAAGCATCCTTCGTCCTACACACGTTATCCAACCCATATCCTACGAATGATTTATCCACTCGTTACACTCGGCTAAGCATATTTCGCTCTTCAAAAGGGGACGTAGCTTACAAATAAAATTTTAAGCAGAAGGAGACATCCTTTAATGATGGCTTTAAGTTTAAGAACCAGGACTCTGTGTGAGTGTGTGTCTGTGTAGCCGGGGCCAACAAATTAATTAGTTTTCAACACTCGAGTTACTTTAAATGCCAATTCGTATAATTAATTTCGCACACATTGGCAGGAGAAGTGCAAAGCAAATCGAAATCAGCAGAGCGACGCCCAAGTACTCAAGGCAAAGGAAGGACCTGCTGCTGGAGCCTGGGCCTGGGTCATGGGTCACATCTATGGCCACAGTCAGAGGAGATAACGCCTCGACTAAGAGACAGGGACCAAAAGGAAGCAATTTTCCTGCCGAATGCCCTGCCACAAAGCGAGGATATTGCAGCTACAAGAGAGTGTGTCTGTGTTGTGGTTGAGTCCAGTTCGGTTCTGTCCTTTTCCAGGACTTCCCTCCTCCTTGACTTCCCTGTGCAATCACTCAAACTGGCAAAGTCATAAATTTTCGGTTAGCAAACTGCAAATTATTTTAGCATCATCCTTTGGCTGCTTTTTCCAGGCAAAAGTTAAATAATGCAAGGACTGCACACATGTGTGAGGAGGGGAGCCTTACTCTGACTTTGCCCAGTGAAAAATTGTGCAGAAAATATTTAAACTGCAATTCCAAAGCGATTTGTTTTATGGCCCTGCTCGAGAATTGTTTCGTTTGGCAACTACTACTCCCGGTCCTGCTGCTGCGTCGTGGAAAACTTAACTCGGATTTGATGTGGCCAAGCAGCAGCTGTTAATGCCGCATGATTTATGTCCAGATCCTTTCCAGAGCAGAGCTCATTATATGCCACTAAATCAAGGCTTGGGTCCAGACTGGGTTTAGGCAACGTCAATGTCGCTCTGCAGTTTTTTTGGAGCCTCTCTGTGTGTGTGTCCCGCTTCCGGATCCGGATCCGTCTCCGTTTCCGCTTCCGGTTGCAGCAGCGGTCGTAAATTTTGGAACAGTAGCCGCCGCTTTGCATGCTCAGTTTATTATTTTATCTGCAGCTTCGCGTGGCTGCCAATTGTCCAGCGTTGCGCTTGCATCCCCTCCTCCTGACAGTTCCAATGCCTCCTCAGTGGCAGGCATCCTTGTGTGTGCGACATGATTTGTTTGACCTCTCCCGCCTGGTCTGTTTTCCTTGCGGCCCGCGATAAATCAGCACTCGACCCAGACACAGTCACAGTTACAGTCATAGTCACAGGCACAGGACACTCCCTCGTGCGGCATTTAGCTTTGGGTTTTGAGCTTACGGATTACAGCGCATTAGTGCGAAATTAGAACTATTATATTTATAGTGCAAATAGTCGGCACATCATTCTTTAGCGAGTCAGGCAGGCCCAGGTAAAACGGCAGAAGCCGAAAAGGGATACGGCAGTGGCAAAAAAAAAGATAATAAAGAAATAATAATATAATGGAAAAGCAAAAAAATATATAAGCCTTTACAGTAAAAGAAATATTTTGTTAAAAAATAAAACAACAATTTTTAACATACTGAAATTTAAAAAAAATAAGAAACCCTAAACTTTTAAAACGACATATCTTCGAGCTTCAAAATAACATAACTTTGCGCAAACATTTTACATTCGCACAGTCGCTAACCCCACTTTCGACTTAATTTTTTCGACTTTCTTCACATTTATTTAAAAGGTAGTTCAGTTTTGGTTCATCTTTGACATACATAATCAAAGAATAATCAATGGAAGCAAGCTTAAACCTTCTTCCGGTGTATTCACAGAGCCATTAGACACGCCTAGCTGCCACTGTAGGAGCTGCCTCACTGCCTCCTCCTCCCCACTGCCAGGCTGTGTCTGGCGTTGGGCTGTAATAAAAACATAAAATGTTGCACATTATGCAAACATACATACACACACAGACTACACCCACACCCACACCCTTACACACACCCACACAGACCGAAGCGATAGGAAGATTTCAGCTTTTGACGGTGGCGCCGCATGTCTAACATTTCGTATGCCACATACACACACCAAGAACGTATGAGAAGGACGCAGGACGAAGGACGAAGGATACCTTGTGCTAAGCAAAAAGCAAACTCCACTCACCGGGCGTATGTGTGTGTGGAGAACATTAAATTTATTTGAAATTATTATTATGCGCATTTACCTAACATTTGCATAACCGTCAACGGTACACACACAGCACACACATCACACACACACACACTGCTGCTCTGCAGGCCAATTTCCCAGTAAAATGTGGCAAGACTGGGGAAAACTGGAACTGGGCCAGAGAGCAAAGACCAACAACAGCAGCGGCTTATAATTTGATTGAAAAGTCCGCGAGGAGTGATCCTGGAAACTGCTTTCAACCGCAAAATTCCTGCGAGATAAAGAGATATATTTTTTTTTGCCAATCGCCGCGGTAAACAATATTAAGCTTTCGCTTAAAGCGCTAGTTTATGGAGCTTCCCAGGGAAATAAAAAATTGAAGCCAGTAAAATATATATAAAAAAAATACATATAAAAAATGTACATGTATATATGAAAACATGGCGAATAAATTAAATGCAATGCGCACTAGATTGCCCCACATTGCGCACACATCGGAAAAACGGTTTTAAATAATTAAATGCTGGCACTGCACTTATTTACACCATTTAACCAGGGAAAACCAGCTAACTGAAACAGCTTTCAGGCAGCCAACAAATACCCTGTGGGGGTATCCTTGTCAAGGAATATATGAGGAAATATTTAGAATTAAATTAAATATCTCAATTACAGAAGGATAGCTTTAAAATTGTAAAACTTGAGCTGCTTTTACTAAACTTTTGTAAAAATAATACAAGAATTTATAGTATAGCAAGTGAAAAAACGCTACGCATCTTATTATTATATAGTCTTTGGTTCTTAACTTTATTTTTTGTCTCGAAACTTGATTAATAAGGATTAAAATACCCAAAAAAAATTCTTAATAAATCTGGATAGTAGGTATATTTCTTCAGTAATTCAGAGTAAAAGCAAGTTGGCATGACCTCAAACCCTTTCCCCAAGCTTCTCCTCTGTATCCTGGCACACAAATATCCTACACACACAATAAAATATTATAAATATTGCACACTCTGGGCAATGTGGCTGGTTTTCTGCTTTATTTTTACTGTTTACTGGTCAATCCAAATGATATTTCGTGTAAATAACCACCCTAAACTCCACCCAGTTGAAGGTTACTCGACAGAACGAACGACTGCTTGCTAGTCACCGACTTCTCCTTGCCCTCAAAATCCACATAAATGTCAAACTCCAGGTCGAAGATGCTCTCGGCACTCGGCTGAATGCCGAACACACCCTTGATGGACTCACCCGAACGCACGGGCAGCGGAGCCTCCAGGTAGAATACCGTCTGGTTCCAGTGCGTCCAGGGAGCACTGGGCGACGTGCTAAAGCTAACCCAACGCTGGCTCTTGCTGAATCCCACATCGAAGTAGGCGAGCAGGCCGTGGACATGGCCGTTGCGCGTGACCCTCAGGTCGTAGAAGGAACGGAAGGCAGAGGAGCCGCTACGCACGGCATACAGATCCAGGGACTTGACCAGATACACACGACTCATCACCTGGCCGGTGGTCACGTGCTCCACCAGGGCCTTGGCGGCGCATCTTCGACGAATGGCGTTGAAGTCAAAGCCATGGACGTCGTGCCAGAAGCCAAGATCTTGGTCCTCCCCATGAATGGCGGCCAGGTAGAGCTGAGCCGAGTCTGGGAAGATGAGGCCTCCCTTGGCCAGCCACTTGTCCCGGGCAAATATCAGCGACTCCAGCATGTTCTCCGAGAAGAGGCAGTGACTGTTGTGTTGGAGGTGTTTAATAGGTAATAGGGAGGGAGCTAAAGTAAAACCCACCCCATCCAGTCGCAAATAAGTATGTCCACTTGATGGATATCCTCTGGCAACTCTATATTCTCCACTTTGCCATGCACCACGGTGATGACATTGCCATGACCATTGTCCTCGGCTATACGGCTTGTGTAATCCGTGACATTGGAGCCATCCACAGCTATGACTCTGGAGGCACCAGACCTGGCGGCAAATATTGAAAGCATGCCCAAGCCACAGCCCACTTCCAGGACAACCTATTGGGGTTCAAGGGAAGATCACTTTCAGAGAAGATAAACTCTCTCCAGGTACTCCTTGTTACCTTATTTTTGAAAGCTTTGTTGTTGAGTATAGCCTCGCGGTAGGCCTTATTTCGAACCGAGTCCTTAAGCAGCCATTCCTGAACCTCGAGGCGACTGTAGAGCTGGAAATACAGAGCCTCCTGCTCGCGACGTAGCTTAAGGGCTTGATCCTCATCACTTTTCCTATCTTTAGCTCCGACCTGAGACATTTCTTTGCCCTTAATTATTCGTTTGACTTTACAATATGTTGACAGCAATCTCCAAGGTATGCTAGAATCCCAGGGAATGACTTAATTTCATCTCAGCTAGTTTTTCATAATTAATTCCTTAAATTTCCACCCGCTGCCTGCGTGCATTAACTAATTAAAAAGCTCATTAGCGTACATAAATCAGCGTTATGCAGACGTAAATTTCATTATTACAACCCAGCAACAACAGCAGCAGATGACCTACTACTACTCCGGACAATGGACCACGATGAGCTGGCAAATTGGGAGAAGGGAACATAGAACCCAAAGGCAAACAAGTTTGCTAGAGGGATATCACTCACTCCTACGGCCACAGGCAGCTACACTGTACTTCGTCATCATCCCTCCGTTTGAGGACATTGTCTTCGTCTAGTCGGACTCGCAATTATGGCCACACTGCTTCCGGGCATTCCCAATTCGATTGCGGGAATGGGACACGGGACCGAGAAAAAAGTGAAAAGTGAAAGATGTGCCGCCCTGGCCAGCGAGCTGGATTTCTTGACTTAAGCAGGGCACAGCGGAGCGTGAAAACATCATAAAGATGAGAAATTATTATCTGTCTCAGGGCTCTGAATGCGCGGGGGGTGCGGGGGCATTTAGCTGCTCTGTTAGCGGGCCCTGAATGAAATATCACATCCTGCAGGGGAATAAAAATCAGCGTCGGTAAAAAATACACACATAAGAAGGGAATACAGGGGGGCAGGAGGGCAGGAAGCAGCCGGAGCTCGAACAGGAAGGCGGCGCACACGGATACACACAGACACAGAGACGATAAACGCTCGCAGCGTCAAAAGACAATGACGAGGCAAGGGATTGGGACTGGTCCTAAGCCGGGCAAAAGGAATACATATATATAGAGAGGAAAAAATAAAGCCAGACGAGCCTGGAAAGTGACGAAAAATTGTAAAAATAAAATATAATGGAGCCAAACGCAGGACTCAAGTCCTGGACTCGGGCGATAATTTTTTATTTGTATGCCAGCAGCAGCCGTAAGCTAAGAGTCGTCCAAAAAGGGGTTACCAGGGGGGGGGGGCACACACACACACACAGAGAGGGCCAAAAGACAGAAACAAATACAAACACAAACACAAACACTTTGCGGCCATCGCCGTCAAGCTGCGCGTTATCCTTTGTGTAATTTCTGGTTTAATGAGGCGGCATCGGTATGGTCTTGTGTCCCTCACCTCCCCCATAGGTAAGCATTTTTACACTCATACATTTTTACGACTCGAGCATTGAGTTAAAATTTGTGTTAAATATTTTATTGTTTTTATGGCCACATGAACACCTCTCTTGCAGCGACACGAGCCCCAGCAAATTATGAGATTCAACTTCCCCTCTCCCCTTGTGGCAAAAGACAATCATTTAAGCCGCCCCCTTCTGGGAGGACAGTGTCCTTGGTTGTTATGCTGCACGTGGCACGAAGGGAACCACCAGGGAAATGGCATCACAAGGCATAAATTCAAGAATATCAGACGATATTCGTAGAGATATTAATGTTGGCTAAGTGTAAGTGTTACACGGCGACTGCTATATTAAACTCTACATGTATATTTTAGGAAAATTAAAACTAATTATAAAAATTGAAAAAACAATTATTTATATCGATAAAAGTCACATTCTGGTCATATTTTCTAGGATACAAGTTCTGGTTACTTTTTATGCAGCCTGTTAAATTCTCAAAAAATAATCATTGTATTATCTTAATACTACCAAATGGATGGAAATTTTCTGCAGTGTATATATGCTACTTAGGTGCTTCTCCTTTGCAAATATATATATATACATATATATATATCTATATATACGGTCAGCGTTTTAAATAGCTCTTATCAATTCCAACTTGAACTGGATGCTGATGCTGAAAAGAGAATCTATCTGTTTGTTTATACATATTTATACACACAGAAATTGGGAAATGCGTGGACAGAGTGTGTCGTCATCTTTATAAAAAGCTCTCTTATCAATCCCAACCTAGGCTCGATGCCTCTTCGAAAGTCTTTGAACAATTCGGGAATCAGTTCACAAAACACTTGCGACTTCCTCGGTCGTATAATCTCGCATTAAAAGGATGCAAAACGTGGGAACCTTCATCTTTTGGGCACTGGCAGCCTGTATCCTGTTTGATAGATCCTTCGCGAAGGACCAGTCAGGCTACGTTTGCCTGATTGACAAACCGAATCCAAATCACTGTGACAATTTCCCAAGTAACTTCCGTGATGCTGGCATCCAGGCGAAGCTTGATAGCGTGGCGGATCAGCAGGATAGACTGGAACGACGACTACAAGGAGTGGAAGCCAAGCTGGAAGGACAACTTCAGGAGGTGCAAACCAAACTGGAGGCTTAACTGGATGAAAGTTTCCTTGCGGTACAGGAAAAGATTGAAATTCAACTTCAGGCGGTTGTAAATCAACTGCAGTTAGTTTCGAACAAGAAAGATGCTGCCGAGGTGAAAAGTCAGTTACAGGCAAAATCGAATAAGACGGCAGCCCACCAACAACCAGCCAAGGCGGCAGTCCCAGCTTCAGCCACGATTACGATACCACCTGGTTTCGAGCTAATTGGTTATAGATATTTTCGAATAGTAAATGAAAGAGTGGATTGGGAGACTGCTGAGAGAAGGTGTCGTGAGATGGGAGGTTTCTTAGCCTCCTTTCGAAATGAAGAAGAAATGAACGCCATTGCAGCAAAACTTTTTGGTTGGCCGCCTTACTGGCTAGGCATTAATGATAGAGAGAATGAGGGCCACTTCGTATCTGTGGCCTCACATAAGCCCGCACCATTTTTAAAGAGGGCTGAGGGAAATACATCCGACAGAAACCATGAGAAGAACTGCCTCACTTTGTATGATGGAACAATGATTCACAGCATTTGTAATTGGAATTTGTTTCATTTTATTTGCCAGGCGGACAATAAAACTTAGCAAAATTTGTATTGATTGTTTTAAATAAAGTTATACTTTAAATAATACTCATCCATACGAGCACGCAGAGATGTGGTCATCGGTATAAATATATGGATAGCTCCTATCAATCCCAACTTAGATCGGATGCTTCTTCGGAAGCCATCGCGGGATTCCAAGAATCCGTTGATAAGAGACTTTCACCTTCACCCTGAACCCCTGATTAACGTCACGCGGCTTAAACAGAGCTCTTGACTACAAGCTTCACTTTTTTTTGCTAAATGCGGATTCAAAAATAATTAATAAATAATTTGAAATTTACTTTTCGTTAATATAACCAATGCTTCCTTAGCTAATTGCATTTCGATAGTCACTTTTATTATTTTTTTTTAAATTTTTTATTAAAATTGTAAGCTTGTAAATATGAAGAATATCATTCACAAGTATTTCTTTTCTTTTTTTAGCCAGCCAGCACACGTTCCGTCAACTCTCTGGAGTAGAAACTGAGCAACCGCATCTTCCTCGAGTGCGTGTGGTCATTAATAGTTGGCAACTCTACCCAGATTGGTCAACTACCAGACAATCTGGGCACCTCCTTTGTCCCTTGAGATTCCGGCGATTATGAAATGGGCAATTAGTTGACTGAGAAGAAGAGGTCTCTGTGACAGCTGGCCGAGAGGGCAGGTAGAATCAACTCAACATATGGCAAAATCGCTTAACCAGCGGGTGCCGGGACATACTTGACAGGCAGACACTCCAAGAGGTGTTCAACTGTTCACCTGTTCACCTGTCTGGCGATGGCACAAATTAGCCGAGGCTATCAGGGAGAGCTATTGGCGTGGCCAAGTGAATTATGATTACGGCTCTCGCATGCACACAGAGTTTATGGCATGTAGAAAGCAGAGTATTTGCAGATTTATTGCAGCTAAAAATCAACGCTAATATAATGCATAAATCAGAGTGCTTAAGTCAACATATTACGTAGGGTAAGGCAATGGGTAGCTGCACTAGGAGGAGGTACTGGTCCTGGCCAAGTGAAATTCAGCGAAAACGAAACATTTTCGGCAACGTTTTGGGGTGGCTCTTGAGTGGGTGGTAGTGGGTTGGTGGGTGGGTTGGTGGATTTTCCTGGCAAATCGAGGACGTCTCTCTCTCTCTATACAGCTCTCTCTCTTGGTTTCTCTGAGAATCTCAGTTTTTGCAGAGCAGCGCAGGCGCTTGGGAGTACCATTTCCAGGCTCTCCGCCTTGGGAGTTTCCTCTCGCTGGGAAAAAGGGAAATATTTCGAGGGGAAGCAAGGGATTTTCTTGGCAGCTGTGCTGGCTAATTAAAATATTACACCGTAGGTCAGGCTCAGCAGCCGTGGGAATTTTATGACTTGCCAAAAGAGCCGCCTTGCCTCGATGCAAATGGACCAACTCATCGTGTCCAGATGCAGGTAGATCTCACATAGATCTCTTGAAGCGTTCCCAGGTGTAATTAAAAAGCCATTTATGACCAAGAATTCCAACAACTTAACCAATTATCTGACCCGCAAGCGGGGTCATGCTTCTCTAGCTTCAAACATCAAAACAAAAATGACTTTTAACACATTTCTATTTGGTTTCTTTGGGTCTTTCTACCATTTCTGTTAGCTTTTTCGAGCTGCCTGCGCAGACGCTTTCCGCACTTTGCTGAGCGCCAAGCCAAAGTTTGGAGTGGAAAACGGGTTGGGAGTTGGCAGCAGCAGCGGAGAAACTGGTTTTTGGGTCACAAAAAACAGCAAAGGGCTCCGAGAACAGGTAAACTCCGACGAGATAATTATTCAATGAAGCCGACTTCGAGGGCTTCTCACTCCCCTATAGAGTTGTTCTTCGTCGGTTCTCAGGGTCCGCCTCGGAAAGTCATGTCAAAGGGTTAGGAGCCGAGGACAGGTTCGACTCGGACCAGCATCGGTGAGAGAGCCCAAGCGTAGCTGCGCAGTTTCTCTCCAGAGAATCGTACTCTCCCCATTTCTCTCTCTCTCTCGGTTTATCTCTCTCTCAGGTGCTCAGTTTCATTGCGGTGGCTGCTGGTGCTTGGGCTGCCTCCCGACGCGGATTTAGTACTCAATTGTTTTTCTGTCACGGCGTACGTGGACGCGGACGCATCTCCTCCGTCAGCTTCCGAGGCAAGGCCCAAAAAACTCATTTAGTGTGTGTGTGTGTCTGTGAGAGTGCCCAGGTGTGAGTGCCTGTGGGCTTGTGTGTGTGTGTGAGTGCCTCGGAAAATTGGCCAGAAAAATGCTTCAACGGATTTAAAACGAAAAACAAAAATCAAGAGTGAAAAATCAACAGAAAACAAAAAGCGGGCAAAGCGGAACTCTCACAAAAAAATAAAACAAATCACGAAAAAAAGAAAACTCACCCACACAACATCGTAAAAGGGGGTGGTACACCCACTCTCCCCTTGACTCAATGGAAATTCGCTCCGAGTTTTTCGGCAAATTCAGGAAAAACAGGACCACACCCGCGCGGGTGCACCAGCTTGAAAAGGGAAAAGCCGTAGTAAAGCCAAGAAAAACAGAACTGAGAGCAGAACTGGAGTCTGCAAGAAAAATTCCAGTTTCCCAAAGGATCGTCAAAGAGAGATGGATAGAGAGAGGTAGAGAGGGAGAGAGGGAGAGCGAGCCATACCAGTTGTGCTGGAAAGGCAAGAAATTCTCGACGAGTTGTTGAGGGGACAGGACAGTTGCGCAAGTGAACAAATCCCGTTATTAGGGGCAATTTCTGTTCTGGCCGTTACGCATCAGCTGTTGGTCTTAAAGTCAACAGAAAAATTGTACTGATTTTTTCAGAAATTTCCCAAAAAAACATGTTAAAAGTAATCTAGATTTTAGCACTATTCAACTTTGATTTGAATTTTTAAATTAATAAAAATCACTGCAACTTTTTGGTCTTACCCCATGAAAACCCTTATATTTCTGCTCAGTTCTGCCTTGGAAAACTGGTAATTTTTGCCAGCTCTCTTTAGCTCCTGCTCTCTCTCTCTGCTTCTGTTTCGGTTTTCCTTTATTTTTTTTCTGATTTTTTGGGGAAGCTCTTTGCAGCCGCGCTTTTCCAGCAAGCTGGAGCTGTGTTCGGTTCGACAGCGGGTCGTCAGTCGAAGGTTTCAAAAAAACGGCAACGGCACAGCTGTGAGCTGGAGTCCTCTAAAGTTTCAGAGGTTTTTCATAAAGGAAAAGCCAGGACTGGGAGAGAAAAGAAAACTAACCACAAATAAGTAAAAACATAAAAATAGGAAACACCGCGTTTAGTGACAATTATATAATAAACTTCAAAAGGCTAAGGCGTGACCCGACCCCGCTGATGAGTCACGTGCTCTATGTGTGTGTGTGTGTGTGTGTGTGTGTGAAAATCGTAAAAATCAAAGGGACCATCAAGGAGAAGCTAGAGTCCTTGCTGTTGACCAGACACGACAATTACCACATCAAAAGAGCAAATACCCATACAATAAACCCATTTTTATGCCACATTGATTTTATTTGTTGTGCATAAAAGGCGCGGCTTTTCCTACAGAGTGTGTCCCCCCTCATATATATCCATATATATAATATACATGTATATATTCTCATACATTTTACGCCTTTGTTTTCATACCCTTACTCCCCCTTCCTCTTCCAATCAAATAGGAATAACATAAAAATCCTTTGTGTCAAACGGAAAACGGTTTCAAAGTCCTTCTTCGCAAGTGTACTCGAAAGTGTCATAAAGTATGCGATTATCCTGTAAACAAAGTGTAAAACGCGCAACCGAAAAAAGCAGCTAAAGTCTGTGTGAGTGAAAGCCAAAAAGCAAACAACAAAATAACTCACGGATTTAACGACTCTAAAAAGAGCCATCATCGTCATCAAAAGAAGGAGTAGGACCTCCTAGGCCTCCTGGCCACGGCTCACAACTATAGCACCCGGATCTGAGCACGTCGTATAATGATTGCGCAAGTGAGGTGAGTCAACCGATTCAACCAATATTCCAGGTTGAAAAACTGCTCCCCGGGGAAACAAAAAACTAAAACTAAAAAAGGGCTTTGGGCGAAAACTGACCAATGCACTCTGAAAATCAAATACTTTCAAGCGCATCCGCAGGCTAGGATTTAATTAAAATTTATGAAATTTTCAATTACAAAAACGGCAAAAGTGTAAATAAGTGCGAGTGCGGCACAATTCAATTACGGAATAGCTGAGGCCAGAAAAAAAGCACAGGCCAGGCACTGCTGGCTGATGTTGTTGGCCCAAAAAACAAACAACTAAACTGGGCCAGAAAACAAACGAGGCTGGGGAATTGAAGGGACAGAAATTGGCAGGGGTATTGATACATATATCCATATATATATATATAGATATCGAAAGAGAGAGAGAGAGAGAGGGGGAAAGAGGAAATGCAGCCATGTTTGGCCGGGGCTAGGAGGCTTGATTGGTTTTGTGGCTTTGTCCACATCCTCCTCAGACTTGCAGACTCAGACTTGGCTCAGAGGGAAAGATGGAAAGCTGAAAAGATGGACAGATGGCCAGTTGCAGTGTGGAAATAACGAAGCAGCTAGCAGCAAACATGTGTAACCGATGACAAAGATGCCACAAAAGGGAGCCCAGGGTTATTAGTGGCCAGGAAATTGCAATTCCCCCAGAGCAATCCATATGGTTTATCGCTTCGCTTCGCTCCGCTTGCTTTTCTTGGATAAATATTGATCTATATATGTAGATCGCGCGGGGTCTGTGTACACCAAATCGATTTTCCATTACATCAAAGATACATATTCGAGCGAGACTGCTGTAAGTGGGTGCTTGCGTGACTGCCGTGTAAGGTCACCCACTCGTGGTAACCTATTCAAACGAGTTGCGACCTCGCTTAGCGGCGGCGATAACGATAACGATAACTAGGCTCTCTCACGAATGCAGGGGAACCCGAAAAAAAAACTGAAAAATATTTGTAGCCTCATTAACTAAACTAAAAAACTATTTCTGTTTCCAAAACAAAAATCAATAAAAATATATTTAAAGCTTGCCGCTACGCATCTTATATATCTTAAAATTATATTTCTGATTCTCTTAACGCCCTAAAATCACTGTTCCCTCTCAGTTTTGTTTATATTTCCTCAAAATAAGGCACCCAAATACCAAACAAGACAACGGAAGCGAAGTTGCGGTCAGTCAGAGTCTCGAATTGGAATTTATTGCCCCGAGATTATCCAACCAGGGCAAACAATCTTGCTATGAGAACTTTATCAGACGCCAGTTTCGAGTTTTTGGGTACACACACACACCTCTCTGTTGATCGTACAACTCCAGAGTTGGCGCCCAAATCCCACGAAACCCGAGCCCCCAGGTCCGAGTTGGAGAAGGCATAGAAGTTGGGGTGGACTGAGGATGGGGGCTTCGGTTCGGCTTTGAGATCGGCTTACACAACGGAGCTGTATAAGGTCTGTATGTACAGCTTCAGACTCCAGTTCGGTGTATAAGAGAGCAACGAAGCTGGAACTTGTTTTTCTTTATTTTTTTTTCTTCTGTTTTTCTGCTGGCTCAATAGATACACAGAATTTCCTGCAGCAGCAGCAGGGTATCGCATTCTGTTAAAGGCAAAGTTGGAAGCACACAAGATGCAATTTGCCGTCGACGATCTCTGGTAAAAGTCTGAGTACTTACACTCACACTCGTACTGGAGCAAGTACTCATACCTACCAGGGGAGTGAGTGTGGGATTCTCACATTCAGGTGAAGTTGCAGGGCTTCACTCAACACCTCAGCACCCATCATCCTCCTCCTGGTGACGCTTTGTTCTTGGTTTGTGTTTTTGTTTGGATTTTCCCTTCCTCCTCGTTTTTTGTTGGTTTTTTTTTTTCTTTACACTCCATTGGCAGTGAAGCGTTAAAATTGACCCAGTTGTTGATTTATTTTTACAGGCAAAATGTCGTGGCATTTTCCCCCCCTCATCCCATCTCTGCTGTGAAACCCGGAAAAAACAATGCGAATTTGCGTTCCCAATTTAAATGCATGCAATTTTTTGGTATTTGTGAAATATTCAACCAGCCCAGGCACGATCCGATGAACCGCACTCTCCACACGAATCGAATTGCTTTAAGGTCTTCCAGAGTCTGCTCCCTCTCTCTCCCAGCACGAATGCATTTTCAATTTTCTGGCCAAATTCCAGGCCCCAAAATGATGATGGGAGACCAGAGTTAAAGTTGCAAATTGTTTGCATTTTTTTTTTTTTTTTTGCTCTGGTCCAAGTACTAGGGTTCCCTGGCAGAGACACAACTTTTAGCTGCTTTTTGTTGCCTCTTCTCTTTTTAATAACTATGCGGGCTTGCTTTTTGTTTTCTTACGGCCAAAAGTTTCTTCTTTCTGGCTAAAAGTTTAAGTGCAAAGCCGTTGAAATTAAAATATTTCCATACCAGACTTAAAGTTGTGTGTTTTCCAGACCCAAAAAGAAGGCCTCTAAATACTTTTGTGCAAGGGGCTGTTCATTATTTCGTAGTGGACCCATTAAAGTAATTTGCCACAGTTGTCGCCGGTGCCATTAGGGCCCCATTAAAGCGCAATCAGAAATCTTGTGGGCTGTGTGGGTCAATACTCGAATATCAATTTGTACACAAAAAGTTTTCCCCGTCAGGCAAAGGCAACCCTTTTTATTAGTTTTGAGATATCGACAGGCGGCCAGAGAACCCCCTCCCTGCTGGCTTTTAATAAGGACATTCAGGCCACAGCGGCAAATAGTTCAATGGACTCGTCAAAGCCAAGACTTAGCTAAGCTGGGCGCTGAAAAATCAATAACCTACGTTGGCAAAAATATCCATTGCTTTACCTACACAAAGAGCCAAGAAAATGTATACTTTATATATTTTCCCTAGGTTTCAAGTTACCAAAAAAGACCCAGAAAAGAAGGAATTTCACAGGTCTCTTATTTCTAAAATATATTTCGTCTAGGCTTCAAGTCAAGTGGCGTCTTTTAATTAAGGAATTTCTCTCTCTGCATCAAAGGCAAACATCTGGAGTTGGTCAGGAGCCTCTGGCCTTGCTGCCTTGTTGTTTGCTTATTCAATTTGGCGCTGTTTGAACTGCGCTGATATGCCCATTACAAGGTGCTCGGTGCTCGGTGCTCGGTGCTGGGGTCTCCATGACGTATACGTAATTACGTTTGTCGCTGCCTCTCCCGCCCAACGATTGCCACTTTAAAGCATGGAAATTTATTTATTGCATAATGGGAAAAGTTTTGCACTTCAGTCATGATTTGCCCCAGTCCCAGTCTCTGCCCCTTGTTCATCGCCATCTACATCTACATCTACATCTTCTGGTGCTATTCAACTCGCAGCATTTCATTTGATGCAGCGGCCAAAAGACGTGCGTAAACAGGGTGGCCTGGGTGGCTCCTTTAGTCTCCAAGTCGGAGTCTTCGAGTGCTAAACTTTTTTGCCCCGAATCCCTTTTGGCTTTTTTTTTTGCCAGCTCCAACTCGAAATCAACTTTATGCGAGGCGCAAAAGAGCCAGGCAGCGGCAAAGTTTATGGTCATGTCCGCTTGGAAAAGTAGCGGGGGAAGGAGAAGGAGGTGGAGAAGGAACTGTGGGAGGGAAGAGAGGCAACATGACAAGGAGCAGGAGCTGGCTGGGTAGAGGGTTTTTCTCGCTGGGTGGCCGTTCATTAGCGTTGCCATTACATTTATTTATTTTTCTTCATTCCTTCTCCATTTCGGCAGGATGTCTGATACACACACACAGGCCAAGTCCTGCTTTGCACAGTCTGTCCAAAAAGTCGAGTCTCCTCTTTTTCCCCCCTCCAGTTGTTGCTGAGAGGGCTTTAGTTTCAACAAGTTTTTCTCGACAAAAAAAAAAAAAAAGTTTAATGAGACACACAACAAACTTGACATTATAGTAAAGAGATTTCCTTGTTGCCAGGACGAATCCTGCCACGCATGTCTGCAGTTATTAGAGCCCGCGTCTTTTTCAGTCTTCAGGGTTCTTGGGTTTCCAGTTTCTACCCCTCGAATTGCGGTGGAAAAAGTTTTTGCCTGTACTTTTTTTTCAAAGCACTTTACAGGATTTATGAGAGAGAGAGAGTAAAAGAAAGAAAAGATGGAAAAGTTTGCTAAATTTTCACTTCCTTTTCTTTGCTGGCTTTGCTTTTCGCCGCTTTGATATTCGCCGCTTTGCTTAGCCCGGGACTGCATAAATAATAACACAAACTTTTATTATTCATTTTGCTTAATCGAAATGCCGCAATTAAGCATGAAGCATAAAAGTTTTGTTTCCTTTTCTCCCTGACTTTTCCTTCAAGGGAGCCCCCAGCCCCACCCTCCCCTTTAGTTTTCCAAGGAAAAACTTGCTGCAAAGTTTTCTGCACTTTTTGCCAAAAATATTATTAAGAATTTAATTGCTTCAAAGCTTCAAGTTTTGTTGGGTGAAATTTTGTAAAATGAATCAACAGAAATTGTGCCTGGTCATGGCTGCTGCTGCGAGAGAGAGTTGGCCCTAACAATGGCCAATAAATATGCCTACGAAACAATCCATTACAATGGCTGATGTGGCCTTTGCTATTGCGCAATGTCTCGCTGATAAGAAAGTGAAAACTAAATGTAAAAAAGCACAAACGACCCCTCCCCTCATGCTCATTGCCTCATTTCCTGTCCGCCAGCTGCCCGTGTGGCCATTAGGCGGCCCATTACTGGCCTCCATTCTCCCCATCCTTTGTCTGTCCCGGCTGGACAGGAACCCGCAAACATCCTGTTGATGTCAGCAAATTTTATTTATTTGTGGTTCGTGTTGTATTACAGCATTTTAGAGCAATTAAAATTGTACAATGACCAAGGGTCCGGTCCGGTCCGGCCATTTTGCATGCTCCGCAGTCTTGGGGGAGTCTGGGAGCAAGTCCATTTGGCCGCATTTTTGAGATCATTTAAAAGGCAAAGTGCCTAATGATATATTGACTTTGCCAGCCTGTTTCAAACTTTTACACGCCCATTAAAAGGTCCCAAGTCGGAGGCGGACTGGCCATATTCTAGGTCTAATTGCCTGGCGGTGGAAAAAAGCAAGGTAGAAACTCATTAGATTAAGTGATAGCTGTTCGCTTTATGGCCCCTATCTGGCACTCGCGGAACATCGGTTTGGTATTGGCCAAGGATGCTGTGTGTATGGCCACTGGCCACAGCTACTCCGAGGAGCGGAGCGGAGCTCATTGTTCTGCCGTTGGCCTACATCTGGGTTCCACTCTCTCTCTCAGGTTTCTCTCTCTCTGTTTCGCTAACAAGCTTACGAAGGGCTGGCCTAGGGGCCCATTGCCCAAATGTAGAGCAGGGAGAGAAGGGCCTGAGAAGGGGCGTTCCATTTCATTAAAGTTTCAGGGCGTACTATGCGGCGTATGAGTGATATTAAAAAAAAAAAAAGAACGAAGAAAACAGCAGAAGGGACACACATACCAAGACCCCCCGAAGGCTGAGACATGGCACTGCAAGAAATTAACTTGAGAAATTGTAAAAAAAAAAATGAAAATATTTGAGATTTGAATAATATTCATATATATATTCATATTTTTTCACCAACTATTTATAGTTAATATCAAAAGCAGTTTCCATATTACTTAATTCCCATTTAATATATTTTTTTCCTGTGTAAAGCATAAAACTTAAACGTGAAACGCTCTCCTTTTGCCTTGCTCAAATAAGCAAAAGTTGTAAAATTTGTTGTTTTCCCGCACACACATACACACTCGCTCTGCTCTCAAGTCCCTGTCGAAATGTCTTGGGGTGTGGCAGCAAGACCATGAAGGAGTCTCCCGGAGATCCTGGACAGCCGGCACTCGCCTTTATTGAAGTGCAATGAGCTGTGGTCGGGGCGTGGCCGGGTATTGTTCCCAAGTTGTTGCGCACAACATGCTTAATTAGTTTCTGAAGCCGAAAGACTGTGTGTGTGTCTGTGCTGTCCCGGGGTTAGAGGTCAGCCAGTCATGTGTGTGTGTGTGTGTGAAAATAATTTGCGGCTTTTCAGAATGGAAATGGGTATGGGTTCCCTTCCGGCCAGCGAGGGTTTTTAATTAAAAGTGCCAGCCAGCCAGGCAGCAGGCATCATCCCCAGCACGTAATGCAAATGAGCGCCAAGTAGCCGCCGTGGAAGGAAGATCCGCATCTCCGATGCGGTGGCTGTGTACGCCGGAATCCTGTGCCGTGTGTGCAGCCAACCAAAAAGCAGCGGCAGCGGCAGGCAGCAGCGGAAACGGATGCCATAAAGTGCTGCCACCGCACGGCCAGAAAATAAAATGGCTGCCATGCGAGAAAGCTTACCAGAGGAGAGGGAAATAACACTGAAAGAAAATGCGATGAAGTTTTCAGGGGAAATATACAAATGGCAAAATGTGTGGTTTGAAGTCATTTCCAAACATTGAATTCCCAAAAAATATCTTAAAACCAAATGGAAGTTATACAAAAAGCATTTCTCCCAGTGTAGGGAAATGTGCAGCGTTCCAACTGACGAATGCTGGTCGAAAGGGCAGCAGCTAGATGGATAACTGAATGACAGAGGGACAGCCCGGGACCAGGACACACATTTTAATGACAACGACGTGGCCAACAACGACAATTCAGTTATGGGTCTCATGGCACACCGCCCACCAAAAACAAACACACACAGAGAGAGCGAGGGAGGTGAGCCAATCAACTGATTTAGTGCAGGTCCTTGTCCCTCGTCCTGGGTGTATCAGCAAATGCAATTCGTTTGCTGATTTGTCATTGTTTGGGGCTGCCAGCCAGCCAGCCAGCCCAGGCTGATTTACAAATGAAATCATACGCCATGGCGGGCATTTCGGTAATGAAAATTCAGCCATAAGGGAAATCATTTTTCCGGCCTTTGTTCTATTTTAGTTGGCCCTGTGCCTGTGCCTGTGCCACACCGCACACTTAATGCGATTTTTGCTGGCAGGATGCAGGAAGCAGGAGCAGAATCAGGACGCTAAGGGATTCAAGTGTTCGCTCTATAAATAAATTTCGTTTTAATAAACTTGTCATAATGGCGGGGCACAAAAATAACAAAAAAAAAAAAAGTTTTAATAACGCTCCGCACAGAAACCTTGACGTTATTAAAATTTTACATGTCATGCCAAAAAGGATTAAATTCAACGCACAAGGACTGTTGTCTCCCTCTTACTCATCCTCTCCCTCTCACCGGATGTATTAAGTTATGCATTAAAATGGCACTAATGACGTTTATACAGCTCTGTCAGCCACGAAACTTTCCTGTACACACACACACACACAGGACCCTCAACCCTCATCCTTCAGCCTCATCCTGTGGGAGGACGAAGCTGGAGCTTTGCTCGAGTTACTTAATTGCAGTGACAACATTGGGGTGGGGGTTCCCCCCTCTTTCAGGACTGAAAATCGTTACAAAAATGCCTGGCTTGCAATTTAAAATACATCGTGTGTGTGTGCGGGTTTAGCTGGGGTGGTAGCTTTACGTTGCCTGCTTGTATTTACGTGGCAAAACCAAGACAAATTCCACTTGAAGAATTCCAAATAATTTAATTAAAAGCACATTTTCTTGGCTTTTTCATTCAACCATTCTGCATACCTGCGGCCAAGTGATAAAATTCGCTGGGATGCCAATTCAATTAACTGCAACGGCACCCAGATACCCACCACCACCCCCAACAAAACTATCTGAGACAATAGAGCCCGCGGCATCGAGCGACCAGACGTTTCTCCAACACGAGTTTTACATTAAAACGCAAAGTTTTATTGCCAAACAACAGCGAAAAGTTTGCTCTATTTGTATAGGAAGGAGTCCGTGTCCTTCTCTCAATCTGCTAAGTGGTGTCCTTATCAGTTGTAGCTACAACATATTAGCTGCTTAATTTTACGGACGTGTGTGTGTGCCAAATTGGGGTGTGGGTCCAGGACAACGAGTGTTGAAATGGAAAACTTTTGTTTATTAATTTGTCAAAGGCTCTTAGAAAGGACGATGCTGTTTGAGTTTCTACAAGATTTTGGGCTGACGATAAGGTTTATTGTCTGGGAAAGGTAGTTTTCCTTTTTTAGGTTTTTTGTGGGAATCCAATGGGTAGGAGTAGTGATGAAAGGAGAAGGTAAAGTGATTTTCATCACTATTTCATTACATTCTTACCATGTTTTCATACTTATTTAAAGAAAAGTCCTCTTAAAATAAAATCTTTTAATTAAAAACCCTTTGAAACTATAAAGTTAACTTCATTCATTTGGTTTTTGAATAGAGTTTAATAACTACCAATTATTTCCCTTGACTTTTTGCATAATATGCATTGGTTGCATGGGGTTGACCCAGTTGAGATTGGGTGAAAATTCTCTAAAAAAAAAAATAAGAAAATGAAGAGAGACTCTTTCTCCTCCTCCTCCCCGAGGATGCGTCTGTTGACACTTGATGCTCCTGACACTGACAGCTGATGGATGATGGCTGAAGGGATGTGACAGCTTCATCAAGTGCAGCCAGGTGCGACTGCAAAGCGTTTTTGCGTTTTCATTGATGGAAACATTTACCGCAGGCAACAACAACAACAACAAACCACTGACATATTCCTCTAAATTTATCTTACTTCCAGATGACGCCACTGCAAGTGAGAAGGATACGTTAGGAGCGCGGCGGCGTTGACTATGGGAACAGAGGCATGGGCGTGTGCGCGGACCTTGGGTCTCATCGATGGTGTCGGGCACTGAGCCAGAGCCAGAGCCAGAGCCGGCACACCCAACAGCAGCAACCGGAGAAGCTCCAGTCACAGTCACAGTCCTCCCAAGAGCAGCAGCAGTCCCAGTTCAGAAAAGTAGCAAGATCAGCGATTGACACAACAACAACAACAACGATTCCAGCTACCGAAACGCTGACGGCATCGCCAGCGAAAACGGCAGCTTTCACAGTGAAAACAACGAGGAGAAGACGCCGACGAAGGGACCTGTCCAGCTCCAGTCACAGGTTCACCTGCTCCACCGCCCAGGTGCTCCAGTTTGTGCTGGTCTCGTTGCTGGCCCTTCTGGCGGAAGATGCACAGGCGCACAACATTCCAGGTGAGTGCAGTCTCCGGCTTTAATTAGATTTCCCAGCAAATCGCTCGAAAGCCCAAAGTTTTATTTGAAAATTTCGATGATAAGTGCTCTCTTGCTTTGCACTATTTTTGGTATGAAAAAATATATCCCCTGAAAGATGGAAAAAAATATAGAGACTAAGCGCATGTGTGGACCACGTTCGCTTGATTTTTATACGGTGCTCGGCGGAAAATTTAATGGCGCACAATAAGCGGCTTACGTGCGGCCAAAGCTGATTACATTTGGCAATTAGTTGACAGAGGAGGGTCTGGGTCTGGGTCTGGACAGTGGAGTAGAGCTTTTATTTAGGCATTTTGCTTTTTATTGGCCGCAAAAAAAGGGGTCAAAAAGTAATTGAATTTATTTGAATGCAGAATAACGAATAAGGCATGAAAAATTGTTAAAATCGTGAAGATACTTTCACCATAAATTCGTAAAAAGATTTCCATATTAGCTTGCTGAATTCTTTCACTAAGAAGAGCTCTTTGTTAGCTCCGACGAAACCATACAATAAAATTCTATAAAAGAAACCCAGAAGAAGAACCTTTAGCCCAAAGATTTATGTACTTGACAGAATGTCACGGGTTAACTGCTACTCGTAGAACCTGTCCTGTCCTTCCAAGTTCCCTGAATTCAATGGTCTGACCTCCATTCGTTCTATTTCCTGATAGGTTTCTCCCTCTCTGCTCCCGCTTCCGTAGGACATTAAAAGTTGCCACTGGCTCCGCTCAATGTACCGTGTCGACGACGACGACGACGCCCGTCGAGTGAATTAATTCAATTTAATTTAGCCGAAAATTGGAAAAACCGCTTGAGATTCCTTCGAGGCGATGGCCACTTTGCAGGGACGGTCGAAAGGTCAACGACGAGTTCTCCTAGAGAGCAACTCAGCCCGGCTTCGCTGAATAACTCAAGCCAAAAACTCGTGTCAAGTGCTCGGCGGGAGGCTCTGAAGGGATGGCTGTGGGTGGAGGAGGGTTTTGGCTGGAAATTGAGGAGTGGAAACGTCTGCCTTTGGCTGAAGGAGATTCTAAATGGAATAATGAAACCACTTTTGCATGTTAACGCCATCAAAAGGCGCGACACACGCGGGTACTCCTCTGACATGCTGGCTTCCTCACTTCCTGCTACCCTCGAGTACTTTTCCAGGGCCCCGGCAACATGTCTGCAACATTATCAAAGGGCAATAGACGCATAAGTACGTCGGCAGTGTACAGAGAGAGAAATACATTAAATTAGAGATATTTCTAATGGTTTCAAGTTGGGGTTGGGGTATAATTCCTTAGCAAACTTATAATTCCCAACTGGTTATAGGAGTTAAAGCTAAAGAAAAGAACAATTAAACCTAACATTGGCCTTGTAATATCCAACTGCTTATAAGTAAAAATATTCAGACATTTAAAATTTAAATGACAAGTCAATAGACATCACTTATATTCCAGTAAATTAGCCTTTTCAAATTATTTCTCCCTGTTTACAGTCCCCGACATCATCACTATTCATTCTCTACCCCATTATAAACGTTGTCGTCATTGTTTTTGTGTTGCTCCTGATGTTGTTTTCAGAATTTTATTTTGTTTTTCTTTTTTTTTATTATTATTTTTTCGGGAGCAGTAAGCGGCGGCTGAGTGGCGATGCAAATAGTCTGCCAAAGCTGGCCAAGTTAACATAAATTTATGCAAATGCCAAAGTCAACAAGCGAGCAGTGCATAAAGCGAGCAAGCGAGACAGTTGTTGGATGTGGATGTGGATGTGGATGAGTGAGTGACTGACTGGTTGAGTGCCTCCTAGTGGAGAGCGGCCAACAAAGACGTCATGCCAGGACTTGTCTCGGGGCCCTTCTCAATTTTCCTGCCCTCCTTTGGGCTAAGGAATTAATGCAAAACGCATTAGGTTGATTTTTTCTTTTTTCTGTGTCCGGACAATCAAGGCCAGTAGTTTGCCAGCTTCGGACGTTTGGTCGTTTGCCTAACCCTATTACCGACACAGATACAGCTGGGACACAGATACAGAAACAGATACAGATACAATGCCTTCTCTCACTACCACACAGACTCTCGGCTCAATCGCATGTGCTCTGGTCAGGTCAGAAGTTGTTTGTTAACAAGTTTAGTGTCATGCCAGGGGCCAGCAGCAGCTGCAGCTCCATGGCATCTTCAAGTGTGTGTGTGTGTGTGTGTGTAACCGGATATGCTCCCTTATTGGATTGCTCCTCGCCTGCTGCGGTTGCTGCTCCTGATGCTGCTGTTTCCGACAATTCATTTGCATTTCCGTTACCGCTTGCCGAGCTTTGAGCTCTGCTCCAATTGTAAACGAAATTTTCAGCCTGGCTGACCATGTCAACGGCTCAGAAAAGCTCTGTCTCCACCCCCACCCAGGACGATGCATACATAAATAATGCCGGGCACATTCGCACCTCGGAATGAAGCGTCCATCAAAGCCAGCAGCGGCAACAAGGAGCCTAATCAGCGCCTGTCAAGTGTCGCACCGCACTAGGTCCTTCCAGGTGCCACCCACTTGACCTCAGAGACTAGTGACAAACGCTAATGAAATGTCACGAGGCGTTGTCAGGGCGGGTATACAGGTAGAAAGCAAGTTTATTTTGTCAATCACAGAGAGAGAGAGGGAGAGCAGGCCAAGGGAAAAGTCTATATACATATAACTGGAAAATAGGGATTTATTTTAAGGAAACTAAATTTATATATATTTCTAAAAAGCATCCTTAAACTTGTCCCAAGATGAGATCGAAAATAACTGCGTCTTGAGGCACTTATTATATTTTTCACAATTAAATTTTCTAAAGTATCTTCTTGAAATCTTCTTTAAAATATATTTTTCCCAGTGATTGATGATTGCATATTCCTGTGCATATATAGTAACCATAGTTTCCGGACCTGATTCAGAACTAAAATGGAAGTTGGGTCAGCTATTGGTCCCTTGGGGCGGGGGGAGAAACATCAGTCAATGACCAGCACTTGACATGTGACCGACGTAGCCATCAACAAATCCATTTAAAAGTAACCCCTGGCATGTTAGTTTTTCCATTCTCTCTTCCAGTCCAGGATACGGGTGGGGCAAAGGATGACATTTGACGGGGCCACGTAAATCGTGCTGAATGTCACGTCTAAATAGAAAGCAATAACGAGGGCGGAGAAAGAGAGAGAGGCTGCGGCTGTGGCTGCGGAATTGGCCGTATTATGAGCGCATCACGTTGGGGAATCCTTGCGGTTCTCGATTCCAGAGTAATAAATATCTGCTATATTTTTTTAACCAATTTTTTTTTTCTATCGTCTTTACAGAAGATGCCGTTCACATCACGGCCATACTTGGCGAGGGTGTCATCTTCAACTGCCATGTGGAGTTCCCCAACGACCATCCCGTGCCATATGTCCTGCAGTGGGACAAGAAGGTGAGCGAAACGGTACGATATCACAGTTAACATTTCTTCTCTAAACTCTCTTTTTTACATTGTTGTTCCGATACGCAAAAACAAAGCAAGAAAAAGTAAGAAACAGTCTCGAGTCACGAGAACAGACAGACCCACGCCAGCAAAAACGAAATATATATATGAAATATATATATATATACCAGCTATACAACCTCGTACTACTCCCAAATACTATATATATACCCCTCTATTCAGTGTTCTCTCTCAGCTATACTCTATACTCAATATAAGAGCCTTTCTTTCTCGATTCAGTTACTCAGCCTGAGTTGTTTCATTTCGTTTTTGCTTTTAATAATTTTCTTTTTCATGAGCTTCAAGCTTCAAATTCTGTGTTTGAGTTGATCCGATAAATGAAATATTGCCCGCTACAGATACTACTATATATCATAACTCGTACCATATATAGCTTGAGATTGATCGTACTCGTGTGTATGTGTTTATGTGTTGCCCGATTGGTACTTTTGCCTTTATGCTTTTCCTGAGTTCAAGTTATCTCATTGCCATTCCAATCAGTATCTCTATCTATATATCCTCCGGTCAGATACCAGAGGACAACACCCGACCTATCACCAGTTTAAAGAAAATGAAAACGAAAGAGAGCACTCCAAAGGTTATACATAATGCAAGATGAGTAACGAGCGGGAAAATATTAAACCTATGACATTACTCATCTTGGTTTGTATATTATCTTTAGAGCGCGCTTTTCTTATACCCTTTTTTAACACACAAAACACACAACACACATAAATATATATATACTGTAATTCCGAAATTATTTTTGCGGCAAATCGAAATAAATACGAAAAAGATGAAAATTAATCAAATTATTTGTCAATTTGAAGGAACCGGGCTTCACAGCACCCGGACCCAGACCAAACCAAAGAGAGCGAAAGAGAAGAAAGCAGTCAAAAAAATAAAAATACTACCACACATTCCACATCCCCAGAGAGATGAAAATGAAATTCCATTTGCAAATCAAAATCAAATCGAAATTCGTTCGCAATCGCAAAAGCATTCACCGAAAAATCTATAGCTTAGCACAAACACACACAAAAATCGCAGACAATTTCCATTCCTCATCCATGCAAAATACCCCAACAATTAGCCGCAACTATTCATAGACGAGCCACAATTTATATATATATATATAAATATTGAAATCAAATTAGACATCACGGTGGCCAGGACTGGCATTTCGTTCCCCCAGCACACCACCACCCAGAAATCCAGAAACAGTGGCAGGAGTCGCCGGAGTTTTGTGGAAATATGCTAATATTTGGCCAAGTTGAGCCGCAGATAAACAGAGTTTGCCAGTCGGAATTCCATGGAGATAAGCGGCGCAAACTTTTCAACTCTCTCTCTGTCTCTTTCTTCTCTATTTTCCCCCCTCTTTCTGGACAATCAGTTAGTGACATATTTCCAGCACTTTGAAACTGACTTCTGCCACTGCGAATTCCCTGTAGGATAAGCTAAATTTTATTCCAATCAAAGATACGCAACACATAGAGCACAGCCACCCACTCACTCACCCACTCACCCTGTCTCATGTCTCCCTCCCACGTTCACCGTTTTCATTCAACTTTATTTTGGTTTGTTGTAATGTTACGTAATCCAATTATTTCCCCGACTTTTCCTGCATGCCTTAGTAGTACTGCAAACTTTGACGAAGCCAACTAACGTGGGCAACCTCAAGTGCAACCAACCAACTCCTTTGAACCTGACCCTCGACCTCAAACAGCTTACTTTCCATAATTTCAAGCACGCCTAAGCCAAGTAACTTTCTCCAAGGATATGGAGGAACTAAGAAAAACCGCAGGGATAATAAACTGCAAGTGCGGGTTAGATAAGCAGGCGTCAAAGTCACGACTGTCCTGCGGAATGCAGGGTCGTATGTAGATAATGTCTTTTGCTTTTTGTATATGTCCCGAAAGTTGCAAGTTTTACAAGCAATTTTAATGCCAAAACAAAGTTATAAGTACTGCTACAAAAAAAGTGTGTGTGTGTGTCGCGATAAAAACCAACGTGTGGCAATTGCACACACACACAGGAAGTAAGGACAAAAAAATATAGAGAGAGAAAAAGGACAGCAGTTGGTAAATGGCCGAATTAAAGGGATTAACATGGCTTTGAGCTTTTAATTTATGCGCTCGTATTTCTTGCTAGACGTAATTACATGCATTGCTGTCCTCATAAAAGTCCCAGGTTTCGTCAGTTTCGTCGCGTAGCTTCTGGGAAATTCATTAAATGGCTGTCTGCCTGCCTGCTTTTCTCTCTTTAAAGAGCCCACCAAGGGGGAGGCGTGAGGCTTGGCGTTGCCTTAGTTGCAATCTAAATTAATTGCTACTGAATAAATTAAGCGGAAAAATGTTTGCCGAGGCCAACTTATGACGCTTCTGCGAGTGCGAATATTAATTTTGGGGCCCAGGACAGGACAGGGCCTAACACTCTTACGCCTGCCTGCCTGCCTGCCTGCCTGTCCCGGGTGTCCTCTGTGTGTGCGAAACAGGTCCCTGTGCTCCTGCCAAAGCAAATTATTTCATACGTCAGCCAAGGAAATTATTAAAACGTCTATAAGTTTTAATAAGCGACACACACACAGCGAGAGCCTATCCTGTCTGCCTGCCTGTTCTCTCGTCTAATTAAGGGAATAAATCGATTAGCTTTGGCTGGGGGATAACATGGCGTATGAGCAATTTGCTTACCAATTATTTATGTATACGCAATTATGTCTACTCTCTCTCTATCTCTATCTCTCTCGGAGTATTTATTATTATTCCTCACAGGACCTTTTGCCCTAGCCTGGTGTTTAATGCTTGGCCAGGCTCTGGCCGGACTCCTAGTCATGCGAAAGAATTCGAATCCAAAATGCATTCGGTTCAATGCATCCTCTGCTCCTCCTCTCCTCTCTCGAATAAAATAAACAAAGGCCAAGCTGCACACAAGGGTTTAGATATGCCAGGATGTGGCGGAGGGGGAGGTGGACTAGGACAGGTTAACCCCAATTTCTGTAGCCTCTCTTTGCCCCCCTTTCGAAATATTTTACATGCACATTTTTTATCAGCACAAGCTAGAATTTCAAATGTATCTCTTTGGCCCTCGTTGTTTTAGTTCCCACACACAGACACATACAGATACAGATGATTTATTGTTGCCAGCCAGCGTTTGTGTGTGTGTAGTGTGTAGTGTGTATTCCTCCTCCGGCTGTTGATGAGCTTGCTGGCTGCTGACGGGGGCAGGCGCTGAGCCCAGGATCTGGGGAGTTTGTTGTGTTGACAGTGAAAATGTGTGACCATGTGTGTGTATGTCCTGGCTGCTTGTTTGTTGCTGGTCTTGTTTACCATGCGGCAGCGCAATTTCTCCACGTTAACGTGATGAGTTTTTGTTTTGACTGTTTTTGTAGATTTTACTTTTACAAGGACAACATACACACACACACAGAGAAAGAGAGAGAGTTGGCAGTCACAGTCACAGTTATGCCGTGTCCTGCCCCTTGGCGCTGTCGCAACTCAATTTATTTGTGACAGTTGTTAGTTGTTTGCCTTCGTTGTCGTCGTCGCGAAAGTTTCCAGAATTCCCGATTAGCGTACGCAGTTTAATCTGCCTTTTTTTCTCATGTTTTTCTGTATATTTTCCTCTATTTTTTCTGTATTTTTTCTATTTTCGTATATGTTTGCACCTGCCTGACAGCTTAGATTTAGTGTTTAGTCTTTAAGCTTGGATTTTTTGCATGAATTTAGCAAGTAAGAACACTCTTTGGTTGGAAGTAGAAAGATTCTAGACTTTTAGACCTTATATAATCAATTTTTCAATCAAAAATATATCAAAAAAACAAAATAGAATCTTCCTACTACCCTAAACTCTACTGTACATAACCCAACTCGCGACTCATTAAACCGAATCATAGCCCTAGGCCACCCCCACTATGTATACTGTGTCTGTGTACCTTGTAAATGTAACCAAAGGCAATTTAAATAAATAAGATGCTATAATAAAAGTAATACCTTGAAACCTAATAATAAGATTTATGTAATTTCAAATTTCCTGGCATCTTATTTATTCATTTTGGCTTCCATGTAAACCTGTAACCCATGTCGAGGCGTACCAGAAATCGTACAAATCGTACACCGCCGTTTGTCGTATGTACAAAAATGTCATGGCACATTATTCCATGCATTATATAACGCATTCCAGACAGACCAAGAATCAAGAATCAACCTAGTTAACCTTAACCGTATTCGAAAAGTACAAATATCAAACTATATTTATATTTCTGTACAACCACCATCCCACAAACAGGGCTCCGATCTGCCTATTTACATCTGGTATGAGAGCTATCCGGAGCATATCGAGGAGGGTTACAAGGGACGCGTGTCCCGCGTCTCGCAGGATTCGCCCTTTGGCTCTGCCTCGCTCAACCTGACCAACATCCGGGAATCGGACCAGGGCTGGTACGAGTGCAAGGTCGTCTTCCTTAACCGGGACCCCAAGCAGCACAAGAACGGTACATGGTTCCACTTAGACGTACATGCACCGCCGCGCTTTAGTGTTACGCCAGAGGATATTATATACGTTAATTTAGGTGAGTTCAAAACCCTTAGCTCTCTTTGATAAATCGAGGGGCCATAAATATTCAGGGGGGGCACCCTGTTCCTCATATTTGGTAAGAAAGAATGCCCTGGCAAGGAATGCTGCGACAGATTAAGTGGGAGACCCACTTTCGAGTGTGTCAAATGGCTGGCCATTTGTTGCAGCGCCACGAATGAGTTTGTCACCTTGGACGAGCAGGAGGAGGAGGAGTTATGGCCGCCCATTTGTCATCTTCTGGAATGGAAGAGGTTCTCGGGCAACCGAAAAAATCGATAAGCGCTTTATGTTTGCAATCGCATCAAATCAAATTTCCGTCGCTTAATCAAAGTTAAAATGTTTACAAGTCCAAGTGGCATGGCTCCGGAGGAGATGCCATCGCAGAAAACAATGGCAGCGCCGGAAATGCGTTGAGAGAAAATGGCGATGCAGCGCATAAATCACACAAACACACAACGCATACACAGAAAGACAACAAGAGAGAACAACGGGGCCGAGTGACAGCAGCTGTGGATGAAACTGCAACAAAGAGCCTGCCATTGTCTGCCACGAAGGACAAAAGGCGGAAAGCCTCCTCCTACTCCTCCTGCTCTCCCCTCATTTTTCTTGAAACCAAAAAGCGTAACAATTGCCACCATTTACCTTATTAATTCCTCACTCTCTCGGTTCTCTCTCATACACATTTCCTTGCAGGTGATTCAATTATACTCAATTGCCAGGCCGACGGCACTCCAACGCCGGAAATACTCTGGTACAAGGATGCCAATCCCGTTGATCCTTCGCCCACGGTGGGCATCTTTAACGATGGCACCGAGCTGCGGATCTCCACCATTCGCCACGAGGACATCGGAGAGTACACTTGCATTGCACGCAATGGTGAGGGACAAGTCTCCCATACGGCCCGTGTTATAATCGCGGGCGGCGCTGTAATCATGGTAAAAACCTAATACAAATCACTTAATTTTCCGAGATAATTCTTAGTTGGTATAGAAAAATAAGAACAAAATGGGAATAAACAAGGGATAAAAGAGGGATAAGAGGGTAGCAAAGGTTGTCCTGGGTAGCAGCAGGGTCCCCACTTAGCAAGGGTTACTACTAATGTCTAGTTTTATTCTTTACCCATTTAAAAACCCTTAACCCTGAACCCTGAACCTCAAACCCTTCCCAACCACGTAGGATAAGGCGACGCCCGATAAACACACTCGCACCAAGTCCAAATCGAATGCCGTCAATGAGAGGCTGACCATCCGAGTAAGTTCCCGAAAAAAAAACTGCAAATCCGCTCGCATCTCTCGCTCTCCAAGCATCCTCTGGCATTCCGCATTCTGCATTCCGCATAACCAGTTCAGCGCTTTCCCATTAACCATGGATGCTGCTGCTCCTGCTGCTGCTGCTCCTTCTCCATTCACAGCAAAACTAATCACTGTAAAGGCTTTCGTTTGGGCCCTCGGGCAATGGGATTTTGGAGAGAGCAAATGCAGCCAAACGGCTTCAGAAATCACCAGACCAAAGCATGTCCAGATTCCGGTTTTCCATCAGTCCGTAAAAAGCGTGGAAACTTTTTTGTGTTGTGTTGGCCCGTATTTACATGCTCCTCCTCCATACACCCGACCCACACACACACACACAGCAAACACAACAAAACAGAACAGCAAAAGCAGGGCGGGTAGTACACTTGACATGGTCATTCGCCTAGTCTGAGTCTGAGGCAGATCCCCCTATTTACAGCCAGCATACAAGCAAGCTCACATGGTTCCGTGAGGTCCTGGCAAAGTGTGCCCGTGTGCTCTACGTCGTCATCGTCTGCCTCGCTATGTATAGCACACTTTTGTGCGCGCCCGCTAATGCATTTGCATTTCGGTTATTTACAGTTAGCTGCAGCTACAGGAGAAGCACCCTAAGCCAGCACTGAGAGAAATATTATTGAGAAATGAAATACTAAAAAATTATTAATATAAATACCATAAATTTAAATACTAACTATTATTTTTAAAGGCAAAAAGTTGAATAAATTGAATTTGTAAAAAATAAAGTAATATTTAAACCTCTTCCAGAACAAAACAGAAACTAAAAATTCTTTTAAAATAGCAAATGTAAATTAAAATTTGTTTAACAAATATTTTTACAAATAACTAGCAACAAAAACCAAAAAAACTTTAATATTTCTTTCCCTTTTAAGCCCTTTTTATATTAGCTAACAAATATTTTAAATTTCCATTAAAAATCTTTTAATCTCAGTGCAAAAATCCTTCCGTTTTTCGCCTTTCCTGTCTACCGCTGCCTGGCACAAATTGCTGGCGTCTTGAAGCGCTTGAACTTTGACCTTTTGCGAGCTTTTCAGGCCAGAGAGGCAGCTCCAAGAGGCCTTAGCCGTTGCCAGAGAGTGAGAATGGGGCACATAGCTCGTGCTTCAATTACCGCTCAACCATTTTGCAGCAATCTTGGCCATAAATATTGCAATAACATTTATCTGGCCGCAGGCAAAGTGGACATTTAATATAGATTGCCCAAGGGAGAGCCCCTCAGTGGAAGTCAAAAGACCATGTCGAAGCCAAATCAAAGGCACAGGACACAGACACAGACGCACTGGCCAGATCAGAAGGCAATTCAATTTGCGTCGCTGTGAGAACCCACATCAATTTTGGCCATAACTAAAACTAATTCAAATGAAACAGTCTGCCGGCAAATTGCCCGAAAGCAAAGCGGTCCCATTAAATAAACCAGGCCTGAGAATGCACTCATGCAATTACCAGGACACACACAGGCACACACAGGCAAAAGGGTTTCGACCCATAATGTTTGGCTGCCTGACAGTTGACTGACAAGTTGTCAATGGCAGCCAGCCAGCCAGCCGAGGGGAAATGTCATAGCCGTGACAGCAGAAATGTTACTTCTTGGGAGCGCGAATGCACAAGGATATATATCGATGACGGCGACAGCCAAAAATTAGCTGTCAAGCTCCAGGCTCCTCAGGGATACACAGGGAGAAAACGATGGGGGGCGGCTCATGATTTGAATTAGCCAAACAGTCAACAGTCCACAGTCAACCGTCATAAGTTTGCAGTTCGTTACCCAGTTATGAAAACCCTAAACTTATGGCACACCTCTCACCCTTACTCCTTGTGTCCACTTTTGTACAGGTGCCACCGACCAACCAAACCAAAATCGAGGGCGACAAAGTGATATTCTCCTGCGAGGCTAAGGCGATGCCCGGCAATGTCACGGTGCGCTGGTACCGGGAGGGCTCCCTTGTCCGGGAGGTTGCCGCCCTGGAGACGCGCGTCACCATACGCAAGGACGGTTCGCTCATCATCAATCCCATCAAGCCGGACGATTCGGGCCAGTATCTGTGCGAGGTGACCAACGGCATTGGGGATCCGCAGAGCGCCTCTGCCTATCTCAGCGTTGAATGTAAGTATTACACGAAAAAGTTGTAGAAAGTAAAAACTAGTTGGGAATTCTAACGGTACGAAGGGAAATTAAACTTAGCTAGCATAATATTAATTGTTAAATTTAAATAAGAAGATCTATAATTAGTAAAAGATGAAGAAAGAAAGCCTCAAACTTCCATTTTAACTTTATGTTTAGGTCTCGATCGTCACATACAAGTTGTATCCCAGAACTTGTTGGGAATTCTAACGCTTGTTCAAATAATAAAACCTGTAGGCTATGTAACAAAATAATTACAAAATTATTTAAGGTTTTTTCTGGTTCTTTTTTTTTATTCTAATAAACGAATATAATTTTTTTTTTTTAGTAAATTTGTAATTTTAATTTTTTTTTTTCCAAGAACTAGTTGGGAATTCTAGCCCCCGTATAAAGAATAAAACCTCTAGACTAAGCAACCAAACATTTATGAAACTATTCAGGGTTTTTTCTCGGTTCTTTTATAATTAAATTATTACATTTTAGGTTATTTATTAGGATAATTCTAGTTTAAAATGGCAAATAAATAAAATAAATAAATCAAAAACTCTCAAAATTCGAATAATTTAAATCGCGACATAAACCAATGAAATAATCGCTGGCACTGGCCTAAGCATAATCAAATTATTTGACACTAATAGCTTAATGAGTGCCGATTCTGTGCTTTCTAGTTAGTAGTTAGTTTAGTCATAATCAATGGCTGTCAATAAATTCCGTTTGAATGGCTTTTGTGGCATGATTCATGGGCATTAAGTATTCAAATGACACTAAATTGGTTACACATACACTCGATTATGTTATATCCCAATGATCCCTGGAGTAATTAATCAATATATATCCCTTCCTACCCCCTTTTGCAGACCCCGCCAAGGTCACATTCACGCCCACGGTGCAGTATCTGCCCTTCAAGCTGGCCGGCGTGGTCCAGTGCTACATCAAGTCCAGTCCTCAGCTGCAGTACGTCACCTGGACAAAGGACAAGCGCCTCCTGGAACCCTACCAGATGAAGGACATTGTGGTGATGGCCAACGGATCGCTTCTGTTTACCCGCGTGAACGAGGAGCACCAGGGCCAGTACTCCTGTACACCGTACAATGCCCAGGGAACGGCCGGTGCTTCCGGCATTATGGATGTGCTCGTTAGGAAGCCGCCCGTCTTCACGGCAGAGCCGGAGACGCTCTATCAGCGCAAGGTGGGCGATAGCGTTGAGATGCACTGCGACGCCCTCGAGGCGGAGGGCACCGAGCGTCCCACGATCAAGTGGCAGCGGCAGGAGGGCGAACAGCTGTCGGAGACGCAGCGCAACCGCATCAAGATCTCTGGCGGCAACATTACGATTGAGAACTTGCGCCGCGAGGACTTTGGCTACTACCAGTGTGTGGTCTCCAACGAAGTGGCCACTCTGATGGCCGTCACCCAGCTAGTGATCGAGGGCACGCAACCGCATGCCCCGTACAACATCACTGGCAAGGCCACCGAGTCCTCCATAACGCTCCAGTGGCTGCCAGGCTACAGCGGTGGTTCGGAGTACAAGCAGGACTATACGATCTGGTTCAGGGAAGCCGGAGTCAACGACTGGCAAACGATCTCGGTGACGCCCTCGGGCAGCACTCTGGTGACGATCAACGGGCTGGCGTCGGGAACCACCTACGAGTTCCAGGTGGTGGGCAGGAATGTCCTGGGCGATGGAATGATGAGCAAAGTGATGACCGTGCGCACTCTGGGTGAGTTCTCAGGATCCTAGTGTTCCCTACGTATTTTTCCCTTCTTCCGTTTGCTTGCTGTCCTATTATTTTGGGTTCTTGCTGCAGTCGCTCCCCGGCACATACTATATATATTATTATTATATATATCTCATGATAAATCCTCTGCACAACTGATCTGGATTGGCTCTAACATAACGCTCTCTTGTTTTCTCTCGTTTTCTTCTCTTTTTCCTCACCGACCTTCATCGAAAAAAAAAAAAAAACAACAATACGCTACTCGATCTCTAACTTTCTCATACTAATCATGCGCGCTAAAATCAAATGCAAAATGCCAATGACCACGAATTTTTCCTGGGAAATCCAACCAACGGAAAATTCGGGTTCACTAGAAGACGCTCCGGCAGCGCCACGTAATGTCAAGGCTGCAACACAACCGCCCGACTCATTCTTTCAGCTAATGCCAGACGAAGCTGGTAAGAGAACCGAACCCTGAAGTCCTCAAACTGAATCGCACCCTCTGTATTCCTCCCCCTAAAAAAAAACAAAACAAAAATCCGCAGCAAGCATAGTTGTAATGTGAATGTAAATCAACGCTCAAAGAATTAACTGTTTAAAGGAAGGCTCAGCGCAGGCTGAGCCTCGGAAGAGTCCTGAGAGGCATTATCCTTTGCATTATTTTGTTGCTGCGTCCGCGTTCTCTGGCCTTTTTTTCTGTTATCTGACTTTGTCCATAGACTTTAGATTGAGTGATGTATATATGAAGCAGGAAATGTACATATAACGGGGGAAAAAGTCCGATATTGATAAAACTATCGCTATCAACATATCGATAATATGTTGTTTGACTTGTTTTGTATTTTCAATATCGATTTATCGCGCATTTAAATCGGTTAGGAAATCAAATATCGATAAAGTATCGATATATCGAAATTTTCAACCTTCAATATCCGATAGATTTGATATATTGAATTTTATAATACTAATAATATCGAAAAGTAGCATCGATATGCTTATTTTTATAAATTTATTTAAAAATACATTTTTTAAAAATTCATTTACATTCTTAATGCAAATAAAAATATAGATTTAATATATTTTCAAATATCGATACAGTTTCGATATCTTTTCACCTAAACTGGAGTCTTTTGTTAGGGTTTCTTTTTCTTATAAATATTCTAAATGTAAGATAGAATTATTTCAGAGTATACACCACCATATTGCATGATTGTATAGCTCAATTTAGTTTCTTAAGTGACTAGTTTTAGGAGTTACGGAATGAGCGATAGCACCTGGACACAATTTGAACCCCCCTGAATGATTTATACCTTACCCAATTCCCATAGATTGCATGAGGCCTAAAATCTAGCTGGCTAACTGTAAATAGCTGAATTTATTTTTAAATTTGAACATTGAACATTCCCCCAATGAATTCAATATGGAAAGAAAGAGCCCAACAATTATATATTCAAGGCAATTATAGCATCGCTCCGATGGCAGCCCAATTCCCGTCTGCTTTTCTACAACATAACCAGACTGGTTATTGGCTGCCAAAGCACACACACACACGCCCCGAATTCGCGCCATTTCCCATGGGCCATAATTTGAGCCACATGAGGACAGGTTTGGTGTCCTGTATCCTTTCTGGCCTGGAATTACAGCAGATCCGTGTGTGCCCCTGTGCCTGTGCGTGCGTAATTAAAACAGTTTGTCCCACATTTAATTATTTAAATTAATTGAACTGTTTTTACAATTGTGGCACACGAGGACGAGGACTACGGTTCCCTCGTTCTCCTGCCGTGTCTTGCAGGTTGTGTGTGTGTGTGTGTGTGTGTGTGCGGTCGATATGACAACGCCCACGCCCAAAAAACAAGGGGGTTGGGGCGTAATTTAAACAACCATATTACCAAATGCCGAGGCACATTTAACAAGCGTTTTGCCTTGCTCCTGTATCCCCCCAACCGCCCCTTTTTGTGGGCGATGTAGGTGCGGCAATTTGAATGCCTTTGTCGACGTTGCCGCGTGTTTTTCCAACCGCTTTGCGATAATAGTTAATTTTATCCTCGTTCTCTTGCTCGCTCTCTCTCGCTCTTGGTCTTTCTCTGTGTGTTAGTTTAGTATATACCCCCCCTTCCCCCACCCAACACACACACGCACACACAAATAAATGTTTCCCCCATTTAGCGTATTTAATTTTCTTGCATTGGTGTGTGTGCTTGGGTGTGCGTGTGTAACAGTGCGTATACGTGTTTTGGCGCACGCGTAGCTTAAAAAATTGAGGGAAAAACAGAAACAGCTACAAAATAACAGCAGCAAAAACAACAACAAAACAGGATAAAACAAGAAACAAAAAGAAAATATAAGCAACGACAGGCGGCAACTCTGGCGGCAAATGTGCGCCGTTGTTGTGTAATGCAACCCTGGATATTCGTGTACGTGTTGTGTACCTTTTTTTGGCGCTTGTAACGAAACACCTCCAACGAAATGAAAAAAAATAAAACATCCAATGCCACCCCACCCATCTGACCCACCGTCCATCCGCCACTACAGACACCTCAGCTGCCACCTCCGCTGCCTTCTCATTTTCATTCTCAGCTGAAACAGCAACCAGAAGCAGCAGTTAAACGCCTCGCAGAAATTGTATTTTTCTTTTTTGGTTTACTTTTTCGCCTATTTCTCTTATAATATTTTCTCATATATAAACTTTTTTATTTCCTTAAATCCTGCATAAAACATCAACGGTAAACCAACCCCTTTTGCTGTCACACGTGCGCGCATTTGTTTATGTCAAGCAATTTCCATACGCCATGTATGCCACCCCCAGGGGCGTTGCATAGCAGTGCGTGCTGCTGCTGCTGCTGCTTTTCCTGGCAGCGCTTAAAAATTAATAACAACAATGAGAGCTGCAAGGCAGCAAGCGCACTCTGGCTCCAACAGTTGCAAAATTTCAACGCTGACATTTGGGATAAATAAAGCAAGTGGAGACAGCCAGCTTTGCTGGAACAGGAAATACCCTTTAGTGAATAGGGTACATAAGGGAAATGTTTTTAAAAAATTTATAAATAATTTTTAGAGGTAAATATAGTTAAAAAAATATATATACAAAGACTTAAAGACTTAAAGAAAACATAAATGCTTATATTTTGGGTTTAATCTACAATATACTTAAATCTATAATGATTTTTTTTAATATAAATCCAGGATTTTTATTTATTTTTCGATCAAAGAAGCAGGCTTAGAACTTATTATTATTTAAATAATTTTTAATTTATTTATTAAGCAAGGGAAAAACGAGACATTCGGAATATTTTTGGTCCTTCGAGCCGGCTTTAGTTCTAGCAAAAATATTTATCGTAAAGGTTCCTTCGAAATCTTTGTAGATAAAAAAAGCAAACTTAGACCAAAAATTAAAAGTTTCACATTTCCAGTTTACAAAAATCTTAGATAAAAGAATGATCTACTTTAATCCTTAATTTCTCAAGAGATATAATAAATAACTACCAATTCTACACCCAATTTTCCAGAACAGTCATCATACCCCACACAAAAATAAGTGAAAACTAACCAAAAAGAAAATGCATGTCAAGGCTGATTATAAACGAGAATACACACACTCACACACACACTCGACGTGTGCTCTTATGAATATTCAATGCATTCTTCACTGTCATAATTACAGCCCCGGAGAGCTCTGAGGCCGTGTCAGGTTTTTAAGTCTAGGCGGAATTTGCATTCGATCGAAGGAGAAACTAAGTAATCGATAAATCTCTCGTGGAAGGGATGACCTTGCTCTGTAGTTAGTACACCCTTCGGTACTTTGGTTTTGCACTCCTTCAATCCTTCTCTCACTTCTTCTCACTGCACTAGCACAACAACACAAACACACACTTTAATTTTAATGCATATTTATTTACAAACAGATTTTGAATTTGAATTTTGCGTTCGTTGCTGTTTTATTTGCAGACCTCTTAGCCTATTTTGACATTTACTTTCACACCGACTCGGTCGGCCGGCTAGTTTACTCGCCGCCCCAGCTGAGAGTCAAAGGTACTCGTATCGGAATCATAAAATCACTTTAAATTATACACTTAATACCCTTAAATACCTCAAGTCCTTTGTCCTGTGTCCTGCCTTGCACTCATTTTTAAGTATTACTTGCTAGCTGCAAACTGCAGATTTACTAAGGGTCTCAACCTCTGCCCTAGCTTGCTGCAGCCATAAATAACATTTAACCGTGCGCACCCGTGTACCCTGGCCAGGGGTTTTGTGTGTTCAGCGTCTACCCTTGACATTTTTACAGTCCGTCTGTGTTGTCTACCCATCTCATTTAGGCCTCTGGCCTGCGCTTTTCCTGCCGTTTTCCCGGGCCATTTTGCTTGTTTTCTGTTTTCTGTTTTTTTTTTTTTATGTTTGTCACTTGTCTCGTTTATGTTATGTCAAATCTGCGCACATTTTTTATGCGGGCCGAGGATTAAAGGGTTGCTCCCCTCATTCGCATAATCAACTTTTGATATATGCGCTCGAGGATGCTGATGCTGAAGCTGCTGTTGCTGCGCTTTCAAATCCCGTGAGGGCTCTTTAAAAGCATTTTTAATTAACATACATACATACATAATGAGCGTGGCATTTTTCGTTAGCGCCATCATCATCATCATCATGATAAATGGCTTGCACTTATTGCCCCCGGAAATTGTAATATCCTCGCATTCGCACCCTCAGCAGCTCGCACGCATTTACTCAGATATTCAGATACTTAGATACTCAGCTACAGATACTCACCCACACTTGACACAACCACACACACGTCGTTTTAAATGCTGTTCAAAATTTCATAGGGAGAAGGAGTGAATTGGAGGCCCATTTACATGACATATTCTGTATTTCTCCAAGCAGCAGTTTTAATTTGCATTCCAAACTCAATCCCTGGAGACGGACTGGCAGTTAATTGCATCAAGCGAAAAAGAGTATAAAAGTTCTGAGAATTCAGGTTATCTATAGCCTATAATTCAGAGCGGGAGTACTTTTTTTTAGCACCCCTTTCGACAGCGAAACGGATGTGGTTGGGGCCCAAAAGTATTCAAATTTGAAAAGCGAGTTACAAAAACGGAAAGTTTTATGTGTGTATGCTAATTAAAATTTGTTTTTGTCAATCCCTTTCTCACATCCAAGGCTCCTCTCGTCCTTGTCATGAATAAATGCATGCCCAAAAAAGAATAAAAAACAAAACAAAAAAAATGGGAAAAGGTTTGAAAGAGAGTTGCAAAAAGCCAAATGGAATTTTCATAAAGCTTTTAAGCGAAATGCAAAAAAACAAGGAGAAAGCTTGAAATAAATAAAATCACATCTAAAAACCAAGAAGGGTGAACCTGCACAGGGAAATATATTTAAAGTGAAGATGAGAAAGACTATAGAAACTTAAAAATATGTTTAATACATTTTACAAGTTCTTCTTTTCCCGAAAAGTCAAAATTTCAACTCTAAAACAAGAAAATAAATCATCGAATTTGAGTATTTCCTTTCTGTTAAGCAATAAATATTCCCATTTAAATTAGGATGGGGCTGGGAAATTGAACGAGGAAAGGTTAGCAATGGCAAAAGGTAAAAAAAAAAAAAAAGGGCAGTGGAAAATCCCGCGTGCAAATAAACAAAAGCATAAAATGAAATGCAAATAAATCAAAAATAATGCAAACGATTTAGCCCGACATGGACCAGCCTACACTGGAATATATATATATATGTAAATATGGAAAATAAATATTTCAAAATCAGGGATTATCTCCTATCGAAACTGAATTTATTGTCAAGAAAACATAAATTTTATTATTCATATTTGCAATTGTTAAGCCCCACAATTATTTTTAGTGTAGGCATATTTCGATGTCGGATTTTACCTTTACATTTTTTTTATGTGGGGCTTACATTGCTGGCTGGAAAACAAGGCAGGACAAATATATGTATATACCCGCATCCCTGGCTCACAACACCTTCAGCTTGTGTATACATACTAATGGTTACTTTTCTTACTCTCTGCCATAACAGGTCCCAAGCCCGGCCCGCCCAGAAATGTGTCCGTGACCGAGGTGTCCAATGGATTCCTCATCACGTGGCAATCGCCATTGGAGCGGGCGCACATCGTCAAGTTCTATACCATCAAGTATCGAACGGATGCCCAGTGGAAGACTCTCAACCGGGGCCAGATCCGGCCGGAGGAGACACAATATCTGGTGAAGAACCTTGTGGGCGGACGCACCTACTATTTCCGGGTGCTGGCCAACTCGGAAAAGTCGTATGAGTCCAGCGACGAGGTGAAGTTCCCGGTGCCGGCACGTGTCAAGCACAAGGCGATTACCGCCGGCGTCGTTGGGGGCATCCTGTTTTTTATTGTTGCGATCATTTTATCGGTTTGTGCCGTAAAAATTTGCAATAAACGTAAACGACGAAAACAGGAAAAAGGTAACACTGAGGCCAAAAGCTAACACACACACTTGAAATGGTTTTTGATGACAAAATCACAAATGATATTTAATAATGATAATGATTATAAATGCCACTCTGCCTAACGATGATCCAAACAGTGCGATAACTAATACTTGTAGCATACTAATCGTAATAATCGTTTTTAATCGATGACGATGACGATGACGATGACAATGTTCTTGTTGTTGGCGATGAACTCACCCTAAAACGATTAATCCTAACAATAACAATAGTAGAACCCTTGAGGCCCCAAACTAACCAACTAGATTAATTTTAATCAATTTTCATCTTCTGACGGCGCAGGCCACTCAATTATCGATAGCTTTTTTTTAACTAATTAACGAGAACTGTTAGCTGATAAGCGTTAAATGTTAATTACCAATTCAAAGGCATTATAATATAAAAGATGCCTCACGCCATGAGATTTGTATGATCTTAACTTCAATTGTATGGCGTTGCGCATCTTATTATTACAAGGTTTTTGTGTTGATTGCTGTGCTTTTATGAGTTCTGCTTGGGCTTCCAGCCTTTTGAGTTTGAGTTCTTTTTGCCAAGAAGGACAAGGTCCTATCGTCCTTCGTTACTTTCCGTTCGACGACAACAACAACAGCACATTGGAATTTGCATTTGAAACCGTTTTTAAAATATACCAAATATATATATATTTTTTGTGACGAAATTTTCGCATATGATATGAAAGTCTCTTCATAAATTATGCCTGTCTGCGAGAGTATGATGATTTGTACGTTTTCGTTGTAGTTGTGCAAGTAAAATTGAGTTACAATTTGGCAAGAAAGAAAAGTTGCTTCAAAATCTCTGTATATATATATTATATTTACATACTAATTGGATTTCGGTTTGCTTTCCTTCATTTGGTTATCCTTCTTCTTTTCGGTTTCTGATTCTGTTTCTGATTTTGCTGAGTTCCACCCCTTGCCCTTCTTCTGTCTGTGGTCCCAGCTCGTGGTCCGCCCCCTCCCACCGCGTAGATAAAAAGAAGATCTTAGTTGAAAATCGGCCATCATGAGACTCCTGCAATTATCCGTTTTGTGTGTGAACCTCAAATTACTTAACCCTGTTTTACTTTTACTTTTTGGTATCATTGGACCTGTTTTCCTTGCCTGTCTGTATAATCTTTGTACCAATCTGGCTTCCTAACCATATAGTGCTTTTTTTCGAATTGGAACTCAAAGCATGAACATCGTATAAGTAAACTATTACTACTACAACTACTACTACTAGTATTTGCCACTTTAGTTAAGCATCTGCCTGCCCCGAAAGTCTCCTTTTGAAACTCCAGTGCAAAGTAGAGCGGAAATTGAAATGCCACGACCAGGAATCGTGCCGGGACATCCATTATTCGAGGCTCGAATCGAATTGAATCGAATCTCACCCGGACTTAACTGGACCAAACCGAACTATAATCGAACTGCCGTGCCAATATCGAAACCTCTCCGTCTGTCTCTGTCTTTTGTTATGGTTTTTCTGCTTTCAACCGTATTTTATTTAAGTGGATTAATTAATGTTGCGTTGTTTAAATCAATTATTTATGTATTCTTTCTGAGAACCCCCCCCCGCCCCTTTGCCCGCAACACACACTTTAAACACAACACAAGAGCAGGGAAATTGCGAGCTTTTGTTGAAATCAATGCAGGCCATTAACTGCGAAATATTATGTACATATTCAATAGCAGAACAACCACATTGTTCTCTCAGTAATACTTGTTTTTTTTTTTTTTCCTGATAGCGTAATATTATCCATAACGATAACAATGATAGACAGTGAGATGAGTGAGGGAAAAAATACCTTTATCACCGAACCAATTGACAAAGCATGTTCTTGGCCAAATCGTCGTTGTTTCTGCCCAGGGCTGAGTTCATGATAGATAAAGGTATTTCCAAATAAGAGAACGAACCTAACTATATACATGGCTGATGACCATTTATATAGCACAATACTGGGCAGACGTTTTTTGTAAACAATTCACGCACAAAGATGGTAAAATATAATGAAAATAAGGCCCACAAAACCAAATGTCAATAGAGCGATATATAATAGAGCTTAAGGAGAACCGAATCCAAAAAGCATAAAATGATCGCGTCGCCAATTGATCGGTTATCCTGTGCATTGCAGAACTCCCGTCCTTGGTTGCCCAACTTCAGGGACTCCTGTAAGGAACTACTATATACCAAAAGGAGTCCGAGTTGGTCAGCCAAGTGGCGTTAAAAGCAATCGAAATTAAAGTAAAAGATAAAAAATATCAAGTAGAAGCCCCCACTAAGACCCCAACATCGGTGTGCTAGCAAAGGGTAAGTTTTTGCCAATCATTATAAGTCGATGTCGTGTGCCACAGATCCTGAGTACTGACAAAAAACAAAACTAAAGGTTATTTTCAGACGAGTCTCCTCCAACCCCAACCACCTAACCAAGTACCAAGTACCAAGTACCCAGTACCGAGTACCATCCAACTAACCAACACTTTGACACCACCACAAAGCCACCACCACCACCACCACCACTACTACCACTCGTCTCTGTGCATCATCGATTAAGCATCCGCATTCCACTAACAATCCGCAATCTGTCGGTTCTCTCGGCTCCGTCAGTTCAGTGCCGTTCAAGCCGCACTTTCTCGAGTATCTCAAGCACCTCACAGACTCATAATTACCTCGAAAAACACAACACACACACATACAGAAGCCGAAACAAAAGCAAATACTCTCTCAACACCTTTCGTTCGTTTTTTGTTTTTTGCGAGAATCACTTTCGACCTTTTTTGAGGCTCAACTTTTATGTTGTTTCCGCTTCCTTTTTCCTCCCTCAGTTATCGTTTATCGGTTTGCATAATTCCCATAATCAGCAATACATTTGGTTTTCGATTTGCATTCAACTTGTGTTCAGTTCCGTTTCGTTCTCCCTATATCTCTGTATCCTCTCTATGTTTTCCGTTGGCACAATTCGCAACTTGACCATTCAAAAGCCATTTCACGTGTCATTGTTTTTCCAAACCATTCGAAGCCAGATCCTGAATAAAATACTGCGAAGAGCACACACGGCTGCATGTACTACATACTACGTGCCACCTCGGGAGTGTGTGTTTGTGATGATATATATGTATATATACACATGTGCCTTAGCTTTCCGCATATAGCCGTATGTATATCGACCTTGTGGGTCCAGATTGTGTGTGTGTCTGTGTCTCGAATTAGTCTGTCATCGACGACAACGTCAAGCCCCAGCTGGCCCGGAGGAAGCATTAAGTTTCGATTTAGTTTGGCATTGTCCTTCCACTATATATATATATATACTATATCCGTATCCCGGCCAAATTAGCCTGGCTCACTAATTGGCCCTGCATACATGTAATTGCAAGCGTAATCAAGTGAAACTAACTAACAACATAGCCTAGTCGTAGTCATCTAACTGCTAACTGGTAAATGGCAACTGTTAACTTGTAACTGCTAACTGGTAACTGCTAACTGGCGACTGTTTAATGCTAACTGTTTACCCTGACTGGTGTGTGTGTCCCCTAGTAATAGCTGCTAGTTAGTTACTGCTCAAATCTAAACAATCTAAACTTATTAGCGATGAAAACGACAACAACGACAATCAGAGTGTGTGTAGTCGAACTATGATGGCATGCAAATTGGCATAACCCACGAGAGTTTAGGTGTGCACAGGAGGAAAAGAGAGTCACAAATATTTTATAGCTTAAAAACAAAAATTTAATAATATTTAAGATTGTAAGTAACACATTTTGACTTTGTCTGAAAGCATTCATGGCGCCCAACGGTTTGCGCAAGCCACCATGTGCGTTTGTTGCTGAAATTTGAACAAAAAATAAAGTTTTAACTTACCTTTTAAAACTGAATACATTAAAAAACAAATTTAAAGCCAATTTCAAAACAATCTATCTAAAACAAGACAACAACCTTTCTCCCTGTGCACATAACCTCAATTTGGGGCCCGCCCTGGACAAACAACCAACAAACATCCGCGTTATGCCACTTTTGTACTCGATTTAAACAGAATTTTGACCCAGAGTAATCGCATTAATATATATATATACGTCTATATGTAGAGAGCACCGTAGATACATATGCATATACATTAGCATACATCCATATTCGAGTATGAACGCGCGTACCTATGTGTGTGTATATAGAGAGTGTGTGTTTAAGGGTATTTTATTTACCGGATAGGACGGCTCACGCTGCACGCCAAATTAATTGTAGAAATTATACGTTTGCAGAGTTCAACATGGTAGCTTGCAGGATAACGGACGCTCGTAACATTGCCGCCAATAATCATCATTTGCACAATCGCAGTACGGGCTCAATTTCCTCTGGTCAAGTGCCTTTAAAAAAGTGAGTATCATCCAACTCTCGAGTAACTGGGTAGTCCCCAGCTAATTGGATACCAAAATTCTCCTGTATGTGTAATGCGCTATCATCTATGTGTATATCTGTCTACCCATATTTCACTCTGAATTGGCCACACCAACGCCATGCACCACCACCGATCTTCTATATCGCTCTTCAAAACTATAGCAATACTGAACATTACCGTGATTATGAAAGCGTTTTTATAGTTCCAGGTCCATCCTGTCATAATCAAAATCGTAAGCAAAACTTCTTCAACTTTTTAAGCAAGTTTTTCTTAGATATTTTCTTTAGTTTGAGTTTGGCTTGAGTTAAGTGATTTTCCTAGTTTCAGTTTAATTAGGCGAATTAAGGGCCTTGCCTGAGCCGCGTTTGTGTTAAAGTTTGGTTTATCTTACTTTTCTTTCATTTTCCTCGATGTTTTAAGTACTCCTATAGTTAGATGACCCCTTTTAATGGTAGTCCAACTCATCCGCAGGTACAAACAAACCCGAATATCAAGTCTAACCGCCATTCTCATTGCCATACTCCACTGGATCTGGCCGCCGGATCGCTGCACCAACTGCCATTCCATCTACAGCTCGCCGAACCTCGAGGACGGGGCTGAGGGCGGCCGGCGACGCTCTGTGAGTCGCATTCAACGCAGCCTCGACGGACGCTTTGTGCTGGATGTGGAGGGCTCTAAGCTGGGCTACTCCCAAACCACCCTGGATGCTGCAGTGGACGTGGTGGATGGTGGCCTCTTTGAGCGGCGAAACAGCAATGTCTCTCAGAAATCCTCCAGCGACGATGGGGGTTTCCTTTCGCGTCGAAACTTCATCACAGCGCGAGCCTCCTGGCGTCGTCCCTTGGTTGCCTCTTCCAGCCAGCTGAGTCTTCAGTCGGCGGCAGACTCGGCCCGGGGCTTCCTCCAGGGCCTGCTCAAGATCGGGGGCGTGGCCAAGCCGCCCTACTTCGATGAGGGTGCTGTAAGTGGAGCCCGATACCAGAACGTCATGCGTCCCTATGCCAGCAGCAGCTCCCACAATCTTTATGGCAATGCGGACCGGAGCAGGCCGCTGCACATCAACACCATTAGCGGGAGTCTCAGCCAGCAGCACCAGCAGCAGCAGTACACGCCCTCGAGGATCTCGCGCATCTTCTCCAGCTCTCCGCAGCAACAGCACCAGCTGAGTCACCTCCAGCACCAGCAGCAACAGCTTCTGCTGAGCAGCAGTGGCAGCGGCACCTACCCCACGCACTTTAGCGACCTGAGCACCGTCTATCCCCCCAACTCCGCCGAACGCTCCTCGTCGACCCACAACTTGAGCAGTCGGTACCGCTACTATTCCCAGGAGCTGCCTTCACTGAGAACCATCCAGGAGGAGACTCGCCGTCAGCAGCAGCAGCAGCAGCAGCAACACCATCCTCTTGAAGAGCCCTTCGTGCCGCTGCAGCTGCCCTCACCGCCTTCGTGGAGGAGCTACTACCAGGCGCAGGCTCAGCTGCCGTATCACAGTTACCGGCCCCGCACACGCTGGTATCCGCGACACCACTCGCGGCTCTTTGGGAGCCGCCAGCAGCATCAGCACGAGCTGCTGTCCCCGCTGCCAGATCTTAACCTACCGCTGCGCAGCGGCCTCTCCATGAATCCTGGCGGCCTGGAGGCCTCACCCGAATCCCGATCCAGCTCGAGTGGCTTTGGTTCGAAGAACACCTCCAATCACCCGGGCAGTACCAGTGAATGGAGACTGCTGCCGCCCTACAGAGCGCCTCCATCGCCGCCCAAGCATCTGGGTTACTTTGGGGCCTCGCAGCAGCAGCAGCAGCAGGGTGGCCAGCAGGCTCAGGGACAGACGCCCCATGGCTACTCCTACCCGCGAGCCAATACCCCGCCCTACACGATGGCCCACTGGCTGGAGATGATCTCAAGACTGAACGCGGCCACCGATAGCAACCTGCCCAAGGCCGGCGCTGTTTGTCCCGTGGACGTGGGCAGCGTGGACGGTCACTATGAGTTCGACCCCGCCACGCCCACGCCCAGTGCCTCCAGTATGCTGCGCGAAGATCTCAACCTGCACATAGATACGCAGTTGCATCCGTTCCATCATTATCACCATCACACCCTGGGTCCGCTGAGCGGGAGTCTGCTGCACAGCCACGCCCCCTACTCCAGCTCGGGGGGGAGGCAAGGAGGCAAGGCCAGGTCCCTGCCCCTCCACCTGCCGCCGCGCTACGACAATGTGGAGGTGAGGCTGCAGGCCATGCGGGAGGAGTTCTATGCCTACCGCAAGCGCCAGGCCATGCAGCAGATGGAGAGCGTCTGCTGAGCCAGTGAAGCGGTTAATTGGGAGACCCAGGAGCCACTCCCAGGTGCACATCCGCAGGCCTTCTGTGCTTCAGTTGGCAGCCACAAAGAGCGCGTTAACTCACAGATCAAGAGAGAGAGAGATGGAGAGGGAGAGGCGACACATGATACTCGTAGACACTGGATCAGGCCCCGCATTCGGAGAGGAACTTAAAAAGTTTGGACCCTGCAAACCCCCCCAAGACCCATTCCCCCACACACCCAGAAACAATTAGTAGATTTAGAAGGAGAACGAGGAGAGCTGTGTACATATATTGCAAGGGGATGCACCATTCCCAGAAGTTTAAGCATAATATTTAACAAAACTATAGCAATTATATAGCGACATATTATTACAGAAATCGATAAATGGATATTTAACGAAAGCAAAAGAACAAATTACAATTACAATTAGCTATTATTTAACACTCGTGTTGAAAGCATTAAACATTAATTAACGAAATCCACAGTGCGTAAGCCTAAATTATGTTCATTACGAAAAACTAAACTAAAACCTAAAGTTAATATGGAATATGCTAGCTGTTAAGCATTTAGTTGTTAACAACTAATAAAGCGCAGAAAACGTAATTAAAGAAAGAAAACGAAAACGAAAAACATATAGAGAAATTGTTTCATAATTAAATTATTTAACGACAGGAAAAACCTACAAAAGAATAAAAACGAAAACCAGTTTAATGAAAAATTTAAAAGAAATATAACTGCTGCATATATGTTTACTGTTGACCTACACACACACACACACACGCCACATACAAACACACGATAATTAACTAATTAATATTTATTAACCCAAAAAGTAAAGGAAAACAAAACAAATCAAAGCAAAAATCGAAGGAAAACCAAAAAGCGAGGCGATAAGAAAAGTATTCTTTCCGACACAGCCCAAGACTACGTCAATGAATAAGCTAGGAATATTAGAGAGGAGACAGGAGCGAGGAGAGAAGGAGAGAGAGAAGAGGAGGATCCCGGACACGATCCCTTATCGATCCCCATCCCGAACAGTTTCCTGGGTTCCCCCGACATACATATGTAGAGAATGGTATGGATTGGTCTAGGTTATATATCGGTCAGTTGTGTGTAAGGAACAGCGCCGAAACGCATTCGGTTTTTTAAGTACTTGTTAAACAATTAAACGATAAAGCGATAAATTGATTAACGATAAACGATTAACGATCAAATTGTACGGAATGAGATGGTTTGACACAACTTGACGCCAAAACACTGCCAGAGCGAGAGATGCGTAAAGACCGCGAGAGTGTGTATAACGTATGTGTAAATTACAGAGCATATATACAACTATAATACTATAAATAATACTATGCATAATACTATAAAGGTAAAGGATAATAATGATAACGATTAACACTATTTCAGGGGAGGGTTTGAGCGCGAAACAAATCAGAACAAGAAGAAATCAACTACGAATCCGACTTAATGATCTCAAGCATTTCTCTTAGTCTTCGAAAGATGCGAACTACTCTGAGTTCCCCCAATTTTTCACTATTCCGATAATTGATTTCCCCATTTCCGATAAGTAACTTCCGATTTCCGATAACTGAGTAAAATAAATCGTATTTAAAATAGACGCTAGGAAAGACAAAAATCGAGTTGTGTTGCAATGCATATTTTGTAAATGTTGAGAGGGTATTCTGCAAGTGAATAAGTTGACTTTTGTATTGCTTATAGGAACACCCACACACTCTGATACACACACACACACACTTACACACATTAAGCGTTTAACTAGAACGAAATAAATTAATTAATTAACAGAAGCATTAATGGAAAGCAAGAAAGAGCAAGAAAAGCGCTAGAAATGACAGCATAAATTGAATTTTAATTGACGATGCAAGAGCGCAGGACTTTACGGCAAATAGATACTATATATATATATATATATATAGAGATATATATATATATATCGACGCATTTTCGCGAAAGTATCGTATGTCGCTTTTTTTCGAAATTGAGATTTTAATGCAAAATTGTTAGGAACCTAATGTCTCACTACCCTGTGAAATATTATAACTGAAAACCCTATAGTTCCGATAAAAATTAAGTTTTAATTTTGTCTTTTCTATAGTGCTTCCTAAGAGATTAAAGCACAAAAAAGCTTCTCCTGTAAAATTGAATTTTTCGACATACGATACTTTCGCGAAAATGCGTCGATATGATTATTTATACGAGTATATGTACTGGACACACACACACATGTACATTAAGTGTAAGAGGATACATTACAAGCTAAGTTTAAGTAACTCTAACGCTTTAGTCTGCCACTTTGATTTTTGGACAAGGTGCGCCAGTTAACTCTTCGACGAAAGGAAATAGGAACTATCAAACGGAAACAAAAACAAAAAAAGGAAATAATAAGTACTACTAATAAGAAAGGGAAATCTATAAATATTCTTTTTTGCACCACCCACTCTTTCTCCTTCCATTCCAATCGTCATTTCCCCGACACACCTTTCAGCTTCCAACTTTCGCCTCACATTCCACAAGACTTTTCCCACACTGCAAGTTCTCCAATTCAGCATATATATAAATATATATATAAATCGTACAAGGATAAAGAAATCAGTTTAGAACGAAATATATTGTAATTAAACACAACAACACACAATTATAAAGAGAAATTAGCAAAATGAACAAAATTTTTAAACAAATAAAAACTTACCGAAAAAGAAAAAACCAAGAAAACAAAACAAAACAAAAAAGAAAAGAAAAAAAAAACAAACAAAAAACGAATAAAAATAAAAAACTTGAAATTGATCAAATAAAATCTGTGGTTTTTTTTCTAACCTTCCTCCCAGTGTAGGCCAAACCCGGAAGCTAAGCCTAATTGATGCCCACGAACAGAAATATCACTCATACGCCACATTGGTTGCAATTAAAGTAATGAAATTCACACAAATTCCAGTGAATGATACTCTCTGCCCTGCTGACCTGGTAAGGGTATTCCCACACTAACCAAGAATCCAAGAATCGATTATGAATAGTTCAATCCACACTTTGGCCAGGCGATCGCTACTAATTGTTTAAGTGGATAAACGTCGTCTGCAAAAGCGAATTTGTGGGGGAGACTCGGGCCAGACAAAGGAGCCATGGAGCAGATGGCGTGGGCGTGTGTCAAATGTCAAAACCGTTTGACAGCGTTCCTCGGTCTGAAGTCTGAAAGCATAGAAAATGCGATCGGGTTTCGGCCTCAGCTCGTCGCTCATCTGCCGCCACTCGTTCTGCAGCTGTGATCGCGGTCCGTTCTCGGTTTTTTTCAGTAGCGCTTCTCCAGTCGCTCTGTGCAGTTCGCGACCCCTTTGAGATCCGCTAGATATACAAAACAGAACCAAACTGCGCACAAAACAATTCATATAACATCTGTATAATATATAGCGTCGGGTTTCGTTTCGTTTTCGTGCGCCTCAGAAGATTCCACGGAGAGTTCGCTTTGCGCCTTTGCTGAGAGGGTCAATTGACCTGATTTCGGGTTGAATTTTAATTTGATTTTCGCGCCGACACGGAAACGGGATTATTATGCAAGACGACGCCGTGCCAGAGTGACCGAGTGCAAGTGCATCCATCCCCTTTACCCCTTTCGAAACTAAAACATTGCAATGCCCGCGATTTGTAGCAGAACACTTTGGTTTGCCGCCACAGCAGCCGCTCTTCTGGTGCTCTTAATGGGCGCATCCTGTGCCAGCGGCGCCCGCGATCATCGGCGGCAGACCAACCTGGAGGCCAAAGTTGGCTCCCATGTGGTCTTCAATTGCTACATTGACTTTCCGTTCGACTCTCCCATTCCGTACTTGGTGCACTGGAGCAAGGATGTAAGTTACAAGGATCCTTCCACCGGTCTACTCCTCACTTCTCACTTATTTATGGCCTTTTTGCCATCGCGCAGGCAGTTTGTAAATGAAATTGTCGAAATTATTAATTTATCAGACACGCGTAGGTGGTCTCCGGTCTCCCGACTCCGACTCCCGAATGCTTGGTTAGCCTTAATTGCGTCTGCTGGACGTTGGTTGCTGCAGCGCAGCATGGAATGCGACTCTCACATTCATTAAAAGGGTCGGACTTTACAGACAACACTGGCCAAAAAAACTGTTACTAATAAACTAATAAATTTAGGGAAGATTTCAAAAAGCATTTTTAAGAGTTTAAGACTTCAAAAACTGAGTATCTTTTATTAGTTTTTAAAAAGTACTATTTATAAACTACGTTTTTTTTAAACTAAGGACTTGATTTCAAGCAAATATAAGAAAAATAATTTAATTAAAATTTGTCTTGACAAAAATATTTCAAATTAAAATAGAAACAAATGGAATAATGCATTGCTTTTTACCAGAAATATTATTTTGGATAAAAAATCTCGAAACTGTGAAGATATTAATTGTTATTTATTTATTTTATTTTTAAAAATCGTTTTGTATTCGATTTTAATGAGAAATTGATCTTTGATATGACTTATTCCGGCTAAATTTAAATTTCATGTTTATTTTTTTTATTTGGCTAACAAATTTATCAAAGTAAATAAGTATTTCTTGCCAGAAGTTTCTTTTAAAACCTAAATTGAATTGATAATAATGCAACAATATAATAATAATATTTTAAGTACAAAAATATCCCCATGAAAGGCTAAAATAACTCCATATCCTTTATCTCCTTTATTTCTTTAGTTATCTAATTATTATTTATAATTTTTTTTAAGTGCATTCAACGCGTTGCATTGCTATAAATGCAATCGCGTTCCCACTGGGGGGTGGCTTGTGGCCAAGGGTGGTGCTGCTAGGTGGTGGCATCGGTGTGTGTATATGTGTGTGGTGCCCGCCCTTGGCTACTAATTAAAGCCCAACCACATGCAGTCGATCGAGTCCGCATCCTGGTGCCTGCCTGGCTGCCTTCCTGCATTCCTTCTTTTCCCCCCCACCGCCTCGACATTGCCATTTAAATTTTTAATTTGACGCTCGGCACAGATTTCACTTTAAATTACCAACAAAACGCCAGCAAAGAGTGTCAATGTGAAGTGTGACATCAAAGACAGACAGAGGACTAGGGAGGAGATCGAGATCGGGGAGTGGGGAATCGGGGTAACTGACACACACCGAGTTGAAATCAATTTCAATTGGATTCAATCGAATTGAATGGCTGGCATTTGTTGACAACTGTGAGTAATGCAATTTAATTCAATTGCAAATTCATTGCAGACGGAAAATATGTGGAGCTCGCGGGCTCTCCTCTTGTATTTAAATCGAGTGAATTACTATTCATCGCACACACGCTCGTCATCAGTCATCCAGTGACCCCTTACAATCGAGGTAATCGAGGGGCTGGGTCGCGCTTATGCATTTTTTTACTATTTATCTAGCTTAATTTGATTCTGCGCCAGAATCTGTTTTTGTTCTGTCGCTCTTTCTGTCTGTATTTCTTTCTTTTTTCCCCCTGGTGCTGCTTTTTTTCGGTCAGCGGGTCATGATGTCATTTTGATAGATTCACTTTAATTGCGCTTGAAATAGTTGCCACTTCGCCAGTAATTAAACAAAATTCCACTGAGAGAGAGAGAGTGCGCTTGAAATATGCATAATCGGCCTGATTTATGGGATTATCTGCAAATGTATTCTATTTACTGTATGTGAGAGAGACTTTCACGGTCACTGCGGGTCTAGTTTTGCTAAAAAATTTCGCGCCATGTCGACATTGCGAAGGCAAAACAAAAATTACCGGATAAATCAAGTTACGTTTTTCGTAATTTGTTAGATAATGCTGATAAATGTGTGTGGTGTCGTCTGGCCCGACGACACACACAGTTGGGTGTATCTACTACATAATCATAGTTATGTGTCGGCAGGGAACGAATCTTGAGTGCACCATAATAATCCCCACAGTCCACAATCCGGGCAAGGCCCTGGCGATGACATTGATGATGATGCCGCTAGGCGGTGCAGTGCATCTTGATGACTGTTTCCCGATCCCAATTAAAGCCGCCAACCTAAAATGTCAATAGATCAACTGACACCCACTGCTATAGCGGCTCAAAATTAATTTTGATCCACTCGAAACTATTTATAATGGTTTTAGGGTTTTAGATTATATTTCATTAAAAGAAATTTAATTTTCTTCAGAAAGTTGGAATAAAAGGTTGTTTTCTTGGTGATTCCTTTAGTTCAAGTCTAGAACAAGTTGGGAATTTTAGTGTTTTAGTCATGTATATCTGGTTTTATATAATATACGTAATTAAAGAGCATCTTGTTCTTATTCTTTAATAATTGTAAATTCTAAATCATTTATTTGATATGAAAAACAGATTATTGTTAGAATAAAAAATAAAAAACTTTTTCTATTGTAAAAAAAAGGGTTGGGAATTTTAGTGGCTAGTTTTTTATAATTTTAAAGTTAAAGAAATTGATCTAAATATGTTTGGCTTTTAAAATGTAAATTAAAAATTCTTAATTTGATCTAAAATATATGATTGTGATCTAGAATAATACGAAACCATTTTGATATAATACAATTTTTAGATTCAATTTATTGTCAAAGCCAGGAAAGTAATGTTTAAATTAAAGTTTAATTATTTATAAAATAATTTTTTATTGAAAGTCGTCTAAGTGATCTAAAAATAGATAGCTGTGATCTAAAAGACAGTGCAAAAATATATAATTTTCATTAATTTTCAATTAAAATTGATATTCTACCTAATATATTGCTATTTTCCCACATTAATTTAATATATTTCATACACGCCTTGCTTCGATATGAAATGAGATCAAATCCAACCCCATTTCATATACAATATATACTATATATACATATTTGTTTTCTGTGTGCCTGCTAGGCGCTGGCTGTTGTGCGGTCGTCGGCTATCAATAACCGGGGCAACCGAATCCCTAGCATGCGGTTTATGGGTCCACATTTAACTGTCACTACGAACCCGGCAAAACTATAAACACGGATGCAGATGCCGATACAGATACAGATACAGATACAGATATGGATGATACTGGGCCCGGGCTAAAGTCAAGTGCATAAAAATGCGATGCGTTTGTTTAGAGCCAAAGCAATTAGAGCAGCCACCGGCCAGCGACCGCAGCGCCGATTCAATTGCATTTAAATAATTTAAGCTTAACTCCTCCGCCATATGATGCAACGCAAACACATTCTGTTTGCTCGCATTAATATTATTATTATTGCGTTTTTCCTTCTTTTTTTATTTGCTGTTATAACAAATATTGACAAATATATTCAGCATTAATTAAAACAAAAATAATTTAAAATGCCACCATCCAAAAAAAGAACCGCAAAAAATGGCATAGAAGCTGCAAAGCCATCGCATTGAATTATTATCCGGCCATAAAACCATAATATATGGCCTGTAAGTGCAGAAAAACTTTAAGGAAAATCAACTTTAAGCTGCGAAGAGTGTTTTTCTATGAGAAGGTGCTAATGGTATTATGGGAAACATTACAATTTAATTTATGAAAAGCTCAGTAAGGGAGATTTTTAAATAAATAAAGCTAAAGCAAATTTTATGATTATGTATATTAATATGTTTTCTGGGTATTTAGAGAATCATAATAAATCTGGGATAATAGATTTAATAAATAATACTTAACAGTAGAGGAAATTAATCATCATGGACAGCTTACTCCACATATTGCTTGCAAATCCAGCTTTTAAACTTATTTAAAAGTGCATCTGAGTACAGTAATACCTGGCAGAGAGTGCTCTGAGTCCCATTCCATGGAAATCCTATTTCAGGGGCACCAGAGAGAGAATGAAAGCTACCATTGAGCACTTCAAGTGCGCCGCGCCACGTGAGCCCATTTAAATTTGTCAACAAAGTAGCGGCATGGGTCCCACGCCTCCTCCTTCCTATCTCCTCCTCCTCCCTACTGGTTATTGTTGTTATTCTTCTCGAGGGTGGGGGAGGGGTGTTCTGGGCTCTGGCAAAGCCGTTGGCCACCGCTGTGCCACGTCACATGACGGTCACAGGCAGTACGAGCTCAGCGGGAGTTTGCGAAAATTATAATGGCGCATAGGGAGAAAGGGCTGGGGGAGATACAGAGATACAGAGATACTCAGATACTCGCACAAGCATAAACAATCTGACATTAACTGTTTCACTGCAATCGAGGGGTGTGTGTGTGTGTGTGTGTGGGCGGGGGCGGGTTCTCTGGCTTCTCCATGTGGATTCCGCATTGCCAGTGATTTACAACTGCAATTGCAGCCAAAATCATAATCATGCCCAGCAGTAAACATTTGTATTTACGTATTTTGTACTCAAGACAATGCAATTTGTAACAAATATTCATTTAAATCGTAAGACATTTTACCCAGAAATTAGGCAAATATATTGCCTGCAATTCAAAGCATTGCAATTATCTCAGGCTAAGATAGAACAAATATATTTCGAATATTTATTATAAAATACATGGATAAGTATTTGGAATTTATATAATAGAGTTAAGAAGGTTTATTTAAAGGTATTTTAAAGTTTTACAAAACTCTTTTAATCTCATATATAAACCCATAGATTTACAAAAATCATCCCAAAACTTTTTAAGATCATTATTTTTCTCTAATTTCCTCCTCAACCCCTTAAATTTCTTGCTTCTTTGCTAATAAAAATATTTTTAAATATATTTCCAAACTAGAACACCAAACTAGAACAAAAAAAAATTTATGTAATTTCCTTTAGAAAGCTAAAATAAAGTATTTTATATTGGAGATTTCATTAGTTCAAGTCTAGAACAAGTTGGGAATTTTAGGGAATTTTTGGGAATTTATTTTATATATACCCTTACATTTACGAAAATTCTCCCTAATTTTTCCCTTCTCAACTCCTTTATTTTCTTGCTTCTTTACTAATAAAAATATTTTTAAATACATTTCCAAACCAGAACAAAAAGATCTTCACTTGGTACGAGCAGGAGACCTCCACCAATGAGCTTTTTAATGGACGCCTCCATTTGGTCGAGAATCATCCGGAATTCGGCCGAGCCTCTGTCAACCTGACTGCCATCCGGGAATCGGATCAGGGCTGGTACCACTGCCAGGTGATCTTTCCCAATCGCTCTCCCTCGGTCCGCAACAATGGCACCCGCTATCACCTGGCCGTCCAGGGTGGTTCCCTTATCCGCATTCCACCAGTTAATCAGACCATTCAGGAGGGACAGACGGCCTTCTTTCATTGCGTCATGAAGTATCCAGATAACTCGCAAGCCTCCTGGTACAAGGACGGTGTACTGCTTCAGGAGGTTCAGGATCTAGTGCGTCGCTCCTACATGGGTCCCGACGGTAGTCTGAGCATTGATCCCACCATGATGAGCGATCTGGGCGAGTACGAGTGCAAGGTGCGAAACAGCGAGGGCGAACTGCAGACAGCCAAGGCCTTTCTCAATATACAATGTGAGTTTTTAATGGAAATGAGGGGTATATAACCCAGAAATCCAAGAAAAAACCAAATAACCCTCTTAAAAATCTTATTTCCAAATAATTAAAATAAATATTAAACGAATTATTTCCCTTTGTTAAGCCCATTAAACCTTATATATTCCTTTCTTATTACCCAGATAAGGCCAAGGTAATTTATGCCCCGCCGGAGGTCTACCTGCCATACGGCCAACCCGCCGTTCTCGACTGCCATTTCCGTGCGAATCCACCGCTAAAGAACCTGCGCTGGGAGAAGGACGGCCTCCTCTTCGACTCGTACAATGTGCCGGGAGTTTTCTACAAGATGAACGGCAGCCTATTTTTCGCCAAGGTGGATGAAAATCATGCCGGTAGCTATACGTGTACGCCCTACAACGACCTCGGCACGGATGGACCGTCGCCGGTCATCAGCGTGATTGTGCTCCGTCCGCCCATCTTTAGTGTCACGCCCAAGGCCATCTACATCCAGAAGCTGGGCGAGGCCGCTGAGCTGCCCTGCGAAGCCATCGACCGGGACGGAAACAATCGGCCCTCCATTGTCTGGAGCCGGGTGAGTTCAGCATTGTCATGGCAAAGGGTAGATGGGGATCGTGCAGTCTCACTTGATTGCATTTTTAATTATGCATGCTGTGCACTATGGGGTTTTTGACCAGTTTTTGTGGCATTAATTAATAACTCGATCAGTTTTAAAGATATCGACATGAAACTTTACCAATCATCATTATTTGTCCCTAGGCACATATAGTATGAAAATCGTTCGGATCAGGAATCTATATCCTATAGCTCCCATAGGAACGATCGGGTAAAAGTAAAGATAAATTAATGAAATTTAAGGAGCTTATATTTGTTGCTATTTTAACACGATATAGCAATTTTGAACAAAATCGGACAACGCTTTCCCTAGGAACCAAAATAACCATAATACGGGAAATCAGTGTTTTTCCATACAAACAGCTACCAAATTGGCTCTGAAAACAGTGAGGTTATCTGAGAAAAATTCAAATTGCAACAAAAGTGCGGAAAAGTGCACGATAAGACTAACTGCTTTTTACTCAGAATTGACAACGCTACAACATACACTTGGACGCATTGAAAACTAATGCGAACTTCTATTTCAAAACTCTTCCCAAAGTTTAAATTTGTTTCTCAAAATTCAGCTTAAGGTGCATTTATAAAATGACAAAATGTCAGTATAAACACGCACAATTTAAACAATTAATACCTTTAACATGTAGTTAAAACCTGTGAAATCAGTGTCCATTAGTTTTTTCCTTTGCAAATTGTGTCTTACACGAATAGTTTAATTTCAAAGATCACTTCGTAAAAATTACAAACTTAGCAGACGCGCTTTCGGATGCAACAGCTGACTTTACAGCTCTGTTGCTAACATATGCTGTTAAGTATTAACATTTTGAGTATGAGGCATAACAGTTCGATGTTTTGTTAATACAATCCCACTATTTTTTTTTTAATTTAAGAACTTTTAAAAAATGACTAAATGCCACATAAAGTGGTCAAAAACCCCATAGTGCTGTGGAGGCCCCCACTCCCACTCAAACTCTGGTTCTCTCCCTCTCATTTGGCAACTCGACTAATTTGCAGAAGGACGGCCAGCCACTGCCGGCGGACAGGTTCAGTCTCAGCGGCGGCAACCTGACCATCACGGGCCTGGTGGAGTCGGATCGCGGCATGTACGAATGCTCGGCCACCAATGAGGCTGCCACCATTACGGCGGAGGCCGAGCTCATGATAGAGAACATAGCCCCCCGGCCACCGTACAATCTCACGGCGAATAGCACAGAGACCTGCATAACCATACGCTGGCAGCCAGGTGAGAGGGAAATCACGTGGGGGCTAATGGGTGGGAAAAGAGGAAAAATGGGAGGGAAAAGTGTGAGGAAAAATGGTCAGCAAAATGACCGAAAAAATGGTGTGAAAACCAGCACAGAGGACGAATGCTGCCGATTTAATTTGAAATTGAGTTGAGAGTGCTTTCGTTTCCCCTGATGGAGGGAGTCCCGTGAAGTTGTAAATAAATCAAGGCAATGCCAGATTTCCATACAAGGAGGATTTTCATGTAGGTGGAAAGGTTTAAGGTGTACATATATCAAGAGAACAGGTCCGAAATGTTGTATCGACATAAATATGGCAATCAAAAATCATATCGAAAATCAAGCTTTTATGTATCGATTTGTTAAATATATAAAAATACAGCATTTACCATATGAAATATAAACATTAAAAATAACCCATTTCATTTTGAATATATCAAACAATATATCGATTAATAGCACTTATCTTAGGATAAAAAATTGAATAACCATATCGATTTTCATGTCATATATCGATACAGTTTCGATATATCCACATAACTTGGAAAGAGTGTAGTTTTAAACCAAAAAAACCAAAGGTTTTATTTTCCGCCCAAAGTCCTTATTTATTTATTTTTACATTATTTTAAATAATTGTTAAAATTCTTTAAAATGTAAATTTAAATTTATTTAAAATTACTCTTAATTTCTTTTACTTAATAAGCTTCTTCTAAGTATAATCTCCCTTCCCCACCCAGGCTACCTTCGACCCAACCTGGAGTACACTGTCTGGTACCGCCTCACAGAGGCTCCCGAGTGGCGAACCCTGCGCGTCTTGGACAAAAAGGTAATGGAGGCCACCGTGCAGCATTTAGTGCCTGGTAAGGAGTACGAGTTTATGGTTCTCAGTCAGGACAAGTACGGCGATGGCATGTTCAGCAAGCAGTTCCGCTTCCAGACACAGGGTAAATTACTCAATCTCTTTTATATCACTAAAAATATAATAAAACCCTTTATCCCTACAGCCTCACCCATCAGAGCTGATGACTTCGATGCCCAGCAGCTGCAGCACGATGACCTCGGCCAGATGCCAACCTCTGCCACTGCCGGGGGCCTGGGTGCGCCCGGGAACCTAACTGCCGTTAGCAATCAGCTGGGCTGGCTCCTCCACTGGGAGCATCCTACGCAGGGACTCGAAGGTCTGCGACTGTACGCCGTGCGCTGGTGGAAGGAGCCGGAACACTTCCTCATCGGCCATGCCGAGACCTTCGACAACTTCTACCAGCTGCGGCACCTCAAGGAGGACACCACCTTCAAGGTGCAGGTGTTGGCAGTGGGTACCAATACACACCTGTCGGTGCCTAGCCACGAGCTCCTCATCGATGTCCCCTCGCAGCGCAAAGTGCGAGCCCTGATCATCGGCAGCTCCGTGGGCGTGATCTTTCTGCTCTGCGCTTTGTGCGCTTTTTTATACGTGAAGCGGAGCTGCCTGCGGCATCTGTTCGCCCGGGATAGCTCCGCGGGGGAGGGCGACGAGGATACGGCGGAGAGCGGTGACTGCGACAGCGATGAGCAGGACAGCGTCAAGATCCGTCAGTCATCCTGAGGCTTGCTCCAGATCCGCTGGCGCTTCGACCAGGCCAGTGGCCAGTGAGGTGAGCACCAGTGGAGGAGGTTGTTCAACGTGCACCAAGTCACCGTTTGTGTGTGAAACTGACTTTAAATATACGTGTCTAGCTGCTATCTGTACCATAAACTCCACTAACTGTAAAGCTGAACTAACCCAATTCGAGAACTAATTAAATTAAACATCAGAAGACCTTCCGAATGTGTTGAGTTTTGTTTGAAATTTGGCAAAATTTACTTGCTGAATTCGGAGCTGTCAGTCGAGCTTATAAGCGAGTTGATAATTTCAGAGGAAAATAAAGTTTGTAGCTAAGAGATATGTTTAAGCAGCGTGACGTGTTAAAGTCTCTTATCAGAGGATTCTCCGAATACCGCGATGGCTTCCAAAGAAGCATCCTATCATAGTCTGGATTGATAAGAGCTTCGCACCGTCTACGTGCTCGTATATACAATCAAACTAGCATATATACACTGCAAGAAAATAGTAAAAGAAACAGAAAAAAAGCTAACTATTGTATTATTGTATTCTTTATTTACTGAAAATGTGTTTTATTAACCTTTGCATTTAATTAAATATGTTAAAGAATGTTTTATAAAAATCTGCTTAGGCCTGACAAATAAAACGCATTTTGGTGTCACACGAATAATCGTGCATTAGATGGGAAAATATGCAAATGCAGTTCTCATCTCTGTCATTATTTCTCTTATTTGGCTGCGATTCACCCCATTTTAAAAAGGCCTTTTGGTCAGTCACCACAGAAACGTACTCGTTGTCTTTAGGCTCGTAGTGAATGCCCAACCAGAATAGCGAACCGGACAACTTGGCCGCAATAGCGGTCTTCTCCTCCTCGCTCTGGATGACGGCCAGTTGACCTCCCATCTCGACACACCTTCTCTTAGCAGTATACCAATCCACATATTCATTTACTATTCGGAAATATCTGGTACCGATTCGCTCAAAGCCAAATGGTGCAATTCTAACTAAATCAGGGATTTCCACCTTGGCAGAATCTATATTTTTCGATACTGCCTGAAGTTGATTTAGAACCGCCTGAAGTTGGGTTTCAAGCCGAGTCTGTACTGTAAGCAGACTTTCTTCTAGTTTAGCTTGGGTCTCCTTCATCTTAGTCTGCACCTCCTGAAGTTGGGCTTCCTGCTTGGACTGTACCTCTCCTATTTGCACCTCCAATTTGTCCAGCTTTGCTTTGATTTCGTTGTCAGCATCACGGTTGTTTCCTGGGATCTTTGGGTTCGGTTCGTCAATAATACAAATGTATCCAGACTGGTCCTCCGCGGAGGATCCTTGCCAAAGGATACAGGCAAACAGTGCCCAAAGGAGGTAGTTTCCGATGTGGTGCATTCTTTAAATTGAAGAGATTGTAAGACTGCGGTAGGTGAAAGTCTCTGGTGAACTGATTCTCGAATTATTCAAAGACTTTCGAACAGGCATTCGGTTTAAACTGGGATTGATAAGTGCCATTTATAAGGATGAATGCACTCTCTGGGCATATATATATATATATTTCTCAATTTCTGTATGCAGAAAATATTACAATTATTTATTACAATTCGCATTTAACAAAAGAAGAAAAAAAAAACAAAATAAGCTTGTAGCTAAGAGCTCTACTTTAGCAGCGTGACGCAAAACAGGGGTTCATGCGAGAAGGTGAAAGTCTCTTATCTAGAAATTCCCGAAAACATGCGATGGTTTTCGAAGAAGCATTCGATCTAGGTTGGGATTGATAAGAGCTATTTATAACGATGACCGCACTTTCTGCGAGCTCTTTTATATATATTTCCCAAGAAGAAATACATAAGTAGAATATATACACTGGAAAAAATTACCCTGCGTGTGGTATTATTAGTCCAACACTATGATAAGTCTGCGTGAAGAGAACGGTTATCCTGGAAAAGATTTTGCAAGTGTAATTTGTATCCAAATACCTAAATAGCAATATATATTAATTTTTAATTAATGTTAATTTACAAGATTTAGTTGGATTTAAAATCCCAAAGTACAATTCATTTTTCTGTTTAAATTTAAATAATAATCGAAACTCAATTATTAAACCGGAACTTGCGTCTAATAAATATTCCTGAAAAGTCAGAGAGACCCTCGTTTTTAAGTGAATTATTATCAAGGCTTTATTATTTTAAAATATAACTTTATTTAAAAAGTTCAGTACAATTGTTGCTAAGTTTCATTGTCCGCCTGGCAAATAAAATAAAATTCTTCATTACAATAATAGTCCCCCATTTCGCGAATATCGAAATAGACGCAGTTCTGCTCATGGTTGCTGTCGCTTGGATGTCCCTCGCGCCACTTTAAAAATGGTGCTGGCTTGTGTGAGGCCACAGATACGAAGTGGCCCTCTTTATCTTGATCATTAATGCCTAGCCAATAGTATTTCCAGTCTGTAAGTTTTGGTTTAATAGCGTTAATTTCTTCTTCATTTCGAAAGGAGGCTAAGTACCCTCCCATCTCACGACACCTTCTCTCAGCAGTATTCCAAATCGCAATTTCATTTACAATTCGAAAATATCTGGTACCGATTAGCTCGAAACCGGATGGAACTGTTATCGTGGATGAAGCCGGGACTTCCACGTTTGCAGCATCTATCTTGTTCTGGACTAACTGCAGTTGATTTACAACCGCCTGAAGTTGGTTATCAATCTTTTTCTGTACCGCAATCAGAATTTCATCGAGTTTAGCCTCCAGTTTCGATTGCATCTCCTGAAGTTGTCCTTCGAGTTTAGCTTCCACTCCTTGTAGTCGTCCTTCCAGCTTGGCATATATCTCCGGAGGTAGCTTGACCTGCACGTCTCCTATTTTCATCTCCAATGTCTCCAGCTTCGCTTTGATTTCGTTGACAGCATCAGAGGTGTTTCCTCGGTCCCGGGCCGGCACGGCGTCGTTTAACAGAGATCGGAGTTCAGGAAGACAATTGCTATCGGACTGATTGGGACTCATATCGTCGAGTAGGATTGTATAGCCAAACCGAAGGCTCTTCGCGAAGGATCCATCAAACAGGGTACAGGCAGCCAGCGCCCAAAGGAAGAAGGTACCGAAATTGTGCATCCTTTACTGGGAGATTGTAAGACCGCGGAAGTTGAAAGTCTCTGGTGAACTGATTCCCAAATTATTAAAAGACTTTCGAAGAGCCATTATATCCCAAAGCCAAATGCCTCTTCGAAAGATCACGGCACTCTCTCGTATATACATGTATTTGCCGATGAGCAAAGAATTCGAGGTCTTATATACGCAACGAACATATAAACATTGATTAGTTAAATAGGTATTTAAATAATTCTTTGCTGATACTCTGCTTTTGTTGGCAGGTAATATATATGTGCATATGTATGTATATGGGACTATGGATATTAATAACAACAATTTAGTCATATATATGTATATTATATAGAAACGATCGATAAATATATACAAATTTTAAATAATGTATGTTTTATAGCTCTCATGTCCCACTTTTTGTTTATATATCTAACACAACAAATTTTCCGAATTGATTTTATTAATTATTATTTTAAAAATTGAATAAATCGCATTATGGGCAGCACTTTTCAATGGAGCTTTTCCCATAGGCCTCATATAGTCGACTCTTTCTTGCCTGAAAAAGCACTTAGCTGTTTGTTAAGCCAAAGCCATCGCAGCTTTCACTTGAGAAAGCTTTTGCCGTTGGCTTTAAACTATAAGAACCCTCAATCCAGACACATCGGTCATTAACTGCCATCGCCCACGTCCGTCTGTCTGGCACGCCATCAACCCCCCCAAAGATGACGCGCCACACATTGCGAGCAGTTAACAGCCAATTAACGAGTCTGTTATGCACTGTTAGTAATTGTTTTCAAAACCCATTCGGAAGCCATCACGGAATCAATGTTCCTGACCAAAACCAGACTTTGGACTGTGCGAAAAAAAACACCTGAATGCACCGGTTAATGATCACTTTGAGCTTGACTACCAAAAGTTGCACTCAATGGCCAAGCAGAGAACTTGCACTTGAAAATTATATCCCAAAGTTGATAAGGAACTCAATGACCCTCCAACCTAAACCGAAACCTAAAATCGTTGCTATATCGAGTATGGTTATCGTACATTGGCACTTGCATTGGCAATTCCACTTTAATTATTACATAGCCCAAGCGGCGGCAGCTAAAAACAAACTGGAAAAATATGAAAATAAACTATCATTAAGGTCGCAGCGATTAGTCGTTGTCCCCCGGACTGCGCATTTAGCTCGGGAACTAGGAACTTGGTTTGGAGCGGAGTATATAGCTCACGTTTCGTTGGTCAATCAGCGATCGAGCAGGGAGGAGGATTACTCATGCGGCACTGATATCGTCCACCCGATGCTCTGCCTGCCTCCCCTTGATCGCTTCTTCTCTTTGTTTTTGTTTGAATTCACTTTGTTCCAATGCTTTGTTCAGTGATCGTGCGGGTTCAAAGTTCGCTATAAACCCCAGACTGGTAAGTGATTGCAAAAAGTTGTCAATGGTGTCTCAAAATGAGTCTCTCCCGGGGTTCAGAGTAAGAAATAAGGTCGTGATGAATGAATATATAGGGGTTGAGTTGCAAGAAAGGAATATCTTAAATTAAGATTGATTCTCACTATAATCTTCATTATTAAATCTTAAGCTTTAGATATTTTTTATTCCAATAAAACAAATTACTCAAAACATCTCCTTAAATTTATGATAAATACAACCCATAGTCATACCTTGTAAAAAATATCTAAACGTAAACAAGACTACCAAGAATAATCACCATAATACCCATCACAAGCTATATTATATCATAAAAACTTAATATATATATTAAGAGTATTAAGTTTTGCGTTTTAGTCTCAAGTAGAATACATTCCTCTTGCCCTTTTGACTTGAGTAATTAGTATTAAAGCCCATCATTAAATCGTAAATGCCACACTTTGTTCTCGGTGTACACTCTCTCTTCGAGTCTCTCGGGGAGTTTTCACAGCTCCATCAGATCTAAGTGCAGGCGTACCCAACTGGCACTAGATTTCCCACTGGGTTCCCAGACACACACGCACGGTGCTCGATGTGTGTTTACAGTCAGCTGTTTCGCAGCTCGGAACTCAACACATGCGCACAACCAGAGTGTATGGCCAGCATTTGAATTAAAGAACTGAAAACTGAACGTTGAACGGAACGACACAGAGAGAGAGAGAGCGGACACATGCTTCCCATTGACGAAACCAAATAGTATCTGAGACGCACTCACAGATACAGATACATGACGCTCTCAGCTGCTGCTGGTGCTACTGCGGCTGCTTAGCTACGACAGTCTCGGTTTCAGTTTCAGTTCTTCGTCGTCCGCGCTGCCTAAACGTTGTTTGCTCTCGCCTCCCACCCTGCTGCCTAAGCGGAGCGGAAAATATTGGGCAGGAATCGAAGTCGAATCGGAACGGATCGCGTTGAGCAAAAACCCGTTTTCGCCCCCTCAGCTGGAGGAGTTCCCCTCTCTCTCGAGTCTCTAACGAGTGTCCCGTGTCCAGGAGGAGGTGTTTCCTCCACCTCGCGCCCTTGGGACTCTGCTGGCATTGCTTTGTTATTTGTTTGTTTGTTTGCTGCCTCAACCGTAACAAAGGGGGGCAGCAGCAGCAGCAGCAGAACAGTGCGAGTATCTGAGTATCTCAACAACTGAGTAACCAAGTATCTGAGTATCTGAGTATCTATGCGGCCACCAACCAAGTGCTAAAAGTGTTTGATGAGCGCCAGCGCGATCTCTGGCAGTGGCCAAAAAAAAAATGAAAAAAGAATATAAATGTAAAGCCAACAACAAATAATGCTATATAATGCTAATAAACCGAAAACACGTTTTATGCCCTATGTGTTTTGGCCGCCGTTGATGTTCTTCTTCTCGGAAAAAATACTCATCCAAAACCAAAGGTGAGCACGTTCAAGTCTAGTGAAGTAATTGCGTCGTGGAAGCAGTAGAAGCGGTGGCAAACTCCTGCACTCTGCACCAGGAACCCACCCCAATATAAACTCCGCAGCTGGAGTTTAGCAGTTCCCCGCTCCCCTGCTCCCAGCAAACTCTTGTGTATCTTAAATGTTTTTCCTGCTTGTATCTCAAAAGAGCGCCTGCGCTCTCTGGGCAAACCAAGAGATAATTTTGCCAAGTTCTCTTGTCGTTGTAGAAATGTTTATAATGCCCGCCATTTGTTAAAAGCATATGTGATGATGTTGTTGATGATGATGATGAATATAACCCGTGGCCAAAAGTCGCGCCACCCAAAAAAAAACCACATAAGATCAGGCCACACTTTAGAGGAGGAGCATCTCGCTCAACGGTCAGGTGGTGTGGCACTGACCTACTTTGATTACGGTTAGGGTAGGACCTCATCATCATCATCATCATCTCGGGTCATCCACCCACAAGGCCCAGAGAGTTTCGCTCTTGATACCAATTTAAATTCCGCGAATCTGGCCAAGAATTCCCCACCATCCCCCGACTTTGTTCCACCAAATTCCCCGATCCCCAGATTAGACAATCCGCAGCTGTGCGTGGCCAGCTCTCTGGAGTGGTGATAACAAGTCGATGGCCGACAACAGCTGGCTGGCCATCGGCGGGCCATAACCCTAGGTTCCTTGGCTCTGGCTGCGATTACGCGCCTTACATCTCCGTCTGTCCGATTAGCGAAAAGGAAACCCGGCCCAGTAGCTCGGAAGCCTATCGCCCCCGCCCATCTAATCGCAAATCGAGCTGCAAACACACACAAATAAAAATAATAAAAATATAAATATGTACACTGCAAGGAAATGGTAGAATATTTAAAGCTAAACAGAAGCGAGGAGACTCTATAAATAAACAAAATACCCACACAGATATCTCTCTGACTAAATGCAAAAAAAAACTTACATTTAGTGTTTACTTACAATGTTTATGTTTCTGGAAGTGGCGGGATGTTTTCTACAAAAGAAATATGTTTCCTTTAAAATTTGGTAGAATTTTTAGAGAATTTTTAGAAGCTGAACATTTAAACCAATTTGCTTCTTCTTATTAGAAATAAAATAAAAAAAAACCCTTAAAAACCCAACAAATTCTATTTCTTAATTAACTTCTATGCCTTAGAAAGTATTCCTAGTATTTAAAATTTTTAAAAATTTCTCTCTGTGCAAAAACTTTGTGAGAATTCTCATCGTTAAACGCTTAAATGAATCGAAATCTTATCAGAGAACGGCCACCTGCAAAAACCCAGTGCAGGCAAACCCAGAAAATCATCGATGCAGTGGCTTTGGCATGTGCTACGAGGGTCTCCCCCAGTGTTTGCACGCCGGGTGCGGATGCACTGGTCCTAACCACAAGTTCTTGGCCGGAACTAAGGCCACTTTAAGTGGCTAGCCTGGCCTGGCATTGGATTGAATATTGTGTGAACATCCAAGTATCCAGGGCTTATCTTGACGCGTGTCGTGTGTCGATGTCTCTTGCTCAATGGGGTCTGGGTCTCGGTCTGGGCTGCTGCTGCTGCTGGCATTGTTCAGTAATTAGAAATTCATGTTTGCTCGCCGTTTGCCTATTGAGCAACCTCCGCGTTGGGCGCCACTTCCTGGCCCCATAATGGTGTGATGTAATAGAGTACTTGAGAATGTGTGTGCTGGAATCAATAGGCAATTGCTTTGTGTTACCTCCGATTTGAATTATGTCTGATTTGTCAAAAACACTTTTCTTTCTTTGCAGAGCTCAACTGAGAAACACATTATATACGTACTTCCAATGCAGATGCCAATTCTCAAATCCCAATTAAACCGGAGCCCTCGAGAGTCACAACAAAGAATAAAAAAAACACAAAAAGCGAGCCAAATGCTGACGCAACTTTGTGCCAACTGAAAAAAGCAAAGAACATAAGGGAATTCCCATAGGAAAACCAAAAGTAATCCCAATCACAATACCACAACACAACCATGAATGAGCTGCAGGCCTCCAGTGTCCCGCTCGTGGACAAGTGCTCCGCCCATGCCGTCATACTGCCGCCGGCCAAGAGTCCCAACAAGGTCTCCGACTCAGCGGCCACCACAACTAAGCCAAATGCGGTTCTCTACACGTCCAGTGGCAATCAGATCACCACGACGATCGCCGCTAATCCCGGCAACAGCCCGAATCCCAAGCAGCAACAGGAGGAACCAGTGCCTCTCCTCAATCAGCTGAAGCTGACTAACGACCTGAAGCCGAGCAGTCACGGGTGAGTCTTCTTTTTTTTTTTCTTTCTTCTAATTGCATTAGCTGGGATTAGGTTCAAGGGGTGTGGTGGGGGAGACCCTGTCACTCCAGCTGTGGGATTATAGAGCAGAATTGAATTCAGTTATGTGCCGTATACTATTGCATTTAGCAATTTCCGCTCTTCGCCGGCCAAGGACAACGGAAAGTTGGTGTCAGACCATTTTCCGTTGCGGTGACACTTCCATTTTTAGCGCCATTAGACACAAATCAGAGCCAGGAAGCAATGAGCGGGAGTGGGAGTGAGCCAGGAGGAGCTATTAATAAGACCGCGTCAATTCAAAATTAGCACGCATCTGTAGCTGCCGGAGCTGGTATCTTCTTTCCGTTAGGAACATGCCACACGCCATCGAGGTGTGTCGAGGAGCAAAAGGAAGTGCCGGAAAATCGATGACTCGACTCTGCCGTCTCACAAATCGCGTGTCGGCATGGAGAAATGGTGCCAACCACGCCTCCTGCTACACCCACCTCCTCCTGCTCCCACTCCTGTGAGAAATTATGCACAGTTGTAAAAATAATTTAAAATGTAGACGACTTTCCAAGAACTCTGGGGTCTTAAGGTAGAACTTAAGGCTTTGTCAGCAGCCTTGAAAGGTTCTTAATTAAAATGCAAATGGAAAATCCTATGCTAAGTGCACACGCCCACAGCCACATAGAAATCAATGCAGGTCACAATCTAATTAAACTTGTGTGAAGGTATAGGGACTTGATATATATGGAGGAAGATGATGCTATGTAGGCTGCACAATCCCGGCAATCAGGTGGGAAAACGAACAGGAAGGCGGCACAGGAAGGACTGCCATAAAGACCGTCTTAAATGCCAACCTATCCTATGTGTGTCCTTTCGACCAGCAAACGCCCCCTATTACCGTTCCCGCTGTCGGCAATGTCATAAATAATAAGCCACAAAAGCAAGTGTGTGTGTGGGTGTGTGTGTGTGTGCCAGGAGGCATGTGGAAAAAACAAAACATGTAACAGTGAATGAAACGCCGTCAAACGGCAAAAGCCGTAAAAGTCATAAGACCAAGCAAAACAATACAAGAAGAGGCAGACAAAAGGGGTCCTGCGGCTTCAGGAATTAACAGCGAATGGGGGATACTCTATAAATAAGGAACTCGACTACTAATTTGTTTATTTTGTTCTAATAAAAATACGTATTTAAGGGAATAATTTATATTTAAATGGTATTAATAAAAGATTTCCCATGCAAAACCCATTCCCAGTGAAAGCATAAAAAGGACTTTCTTAACTTAAAAGGGTAACCAGTACCTCTGGGCAAAAGGTAGGGGGCTTAGGGAGGACAACAGTCGAGGACCTCGCGGCGCCGCCTGCCTGGAAAAATCGAACAAGCCGCTGCCGCCAACCAAAAGCTGTCCAAAGTCGTGTGCCGCAGTCAGCAGTTGGACGCCGTTCGGCTTTTTAGTCCTGCGAGAGAGCGGCTTGCGGCGAAACAGTGCTGCCAGTATAGCAGTATAGTGTTCGGTTTCTGGCTTAAATATTTATGTGCTTATTAGAAAAATCAAAATGCAACGTCGCCCACCCTAAAAAAGAGCGGCTACACTGGCCACGTGGTTGCGTTTTTACGTGCAAATCTTGTGCTTTTTTTTTTTTTGGCAAGCCAAACGCCGGGTTATGTAATGTGAAGTTGCCGGAAAAGCTACAGGGAAGAGGAGAGTGAGACAGAGTTTTCTCCTCTTTACCCAGTGCAGTGCCAGACTCTGTGACGCCTTCTCAAAAGACAACCTGCGTATCCTTGAGGGCGCTTCCATAAACGTAAAAGTCAGTCCCAGTCAGTCAGTCAGCACTCGAAGCGAAGCTTGTTGACCTTCTCCCCTGCTTCGAGGGCACAGCTGACAGCCAGCAGTCCTGGACAGGACCTTCTCCCACGCTCTACGCCCACACACACAAACACATCCGTTTCCCACATTTGATTGGCCTTGCCCGTTTCCTTAATAGTCCTGAATAGGCCTAAAGCCCCCTCAATTGTTCATAAGCTTTGAATGGGGTTCGAATAAATCTTTTGAGTGCCCGGCTACGGCTCCTGAATTCATTTCAATCAGTTGGGAATAATTTATAGCATATTAAAAGCATTATTTCGTTGTGAAAAGAACACATGCTGAGGCTATAGTCACCATAGCTTGGATTTAAATGTATTTAAAAAAAAGTTCTTTAGAGGCTTAAAATGCCACAAACTATGACAAACTCTCTGGTGAATAATGATTAATTCAAGGCTTGGGCTTTGCTTTTATTTAACCCCCTTTTCTTCCTCCCCTCCTCTTGTTGTTGCCTTGATTAATTCTTTTATTAATCGCAATAAACATTCTGTGTCTCCATGGCATTTATGCGAATCGCTTTGCTTAATTGTCGCCAAGCTGCGGATGATCTAAACCGTTGGCGCGCGTCAGCTCTGGATATTTCCGGTCGCGCTTAATCAGTGTAATACTGGCCAAGGTTCACAGCGGATTGTATATTAAACTATGAACTACATAGCTTAGTGGGGCTACAGCTGCCACAGTAGCTGGGTTTATGGCCCGCAATCAATCAATTAAGTAGGCCCGCCATCGATCCTCCAACCTGGCAACAATTACCACGCATTAAGATTGATAAGAAAGACCCGGAAGGGATTGCGTGACTACTGAACTCCATTTGAATTTAATTGAGAAGGGTTCCAGTTAGCGCGGAGGAGGAGACAAGAGACCAAGAGTCTTGTCTTTGGGTGCACATTTCGCAACTTCGTTGGGCCTTCGTTGAGTTCGTTGTGTCGTTGTGTTGTCGTTCGGCTCGTTGGGTTCGTTAACATGCACTCTGGGTGCATGCGCACTTGAAATGTACTCGCTCTCCGGGTGCTCGTGCACCGAGATATTCGCGGGAAACGATTTGCTACTAGATATATGTATATATATATATGTATTCCGCAGCTGGCAGAGTCATATTTATCGTTTCTGAGGGGAGAAAAGAGGCCAAAGCAAAGCAAAAGCCAAAAGCAAAACAAAGCGAAAATTGTTTATCTGTATCTTTGTATCTGAATTCACTTAGCATGGCTCACAGCCAAACAGCTGACTGGTTGGCAATTTACCCTGCCTTAGCCAAGAAATTAAACACATTCGTAAACGTATTCCAACCGCCGGTAATTGTCTTGCCTCTATACTTGGAGTATACAAAATCCATTAAGTTTGCAACTATATTTAGAGACAGAAAACTAATCATTATATAGAATTATCATAAGGCTTTAATCATTTCAATTCCATTCACGAAGCTATGCAAAAATGTGATTTAAAAGCACTTGAGTGGCAACAACAAGGGTAATTATCGGTTAGGGGAGGCAGTACTGCCTCTAATGTGAGACAAATTCGTTAGTAATAGTAAGTAAAAGTTCAAGTTATAGTAAAAGTAATTAGTAAGCTTTTAAATTCATTAGCTTAACTTGGCTTAAATTCATTAACTTAGCTTTAATGATAAGTTGAGTATGTTCTAGGCAATTTCTACTGTGCCATTTGCACTAATCATTCCTCAGGTTGTCAGGCTTGTCAGGAGATAAGTAGCCACTCGCCACTATAGCTAGATACACTGACCTTTAAGCACCCACCACCACCCCCACGTGCTACTAGACCCGCTTTCCGTGCATCGCGGGGCTTCGGCTTAGCAATCAATCAATTTCGCTCAACCAACTTGCACCCAAAAGATGTAATGTTAATTGGCATTGGACCGCTGCAGTTGTCGTCGTCGTCGTCGTCGTCGTTGGCGGACTTATCAATCGAAGTCCGTCCGGCATGCGACCAAGCACTAATGAAAACGCACTCGGCAAGGTAGTAGTATTTCATGAATGAAACAAAGGCGCTGGAAACTTTGGCCTTTCAAACGCGGTACATGGGATGTGTGCGGTAACTAGCTGATTGATCGACTGACTGACTGATCCAGGTCGCTTGAGGGCACATATCATGAGCCTCTGCTGAGAAGAAGAAGAAGCTATCATGGAACTGAAGCTGACCCGTTGCGTCAGCGTGGAAAGTGGGGGCATACAAAACTCTAGTTTTGAGACAGCGGCGACATCCCAGGCAGATGTCCAACGTAGAAGATCCAGTGCCTATGCCGAGGCCTATGCGGAGATGTTGCAGGAGCGTTCTTTCCGCTCCCTGTCCATGGTCCAGGCCAAGCTGACCAAGAATGGTGGGGTTAGCTGCGCCCTGCAAAGGTCAGAGGAACCAGAAACTAAGCTCTTGTAACCTCAAAAACCCTCACTAAAGCCAAATCTCTATTTTCTCTGCTTCGTTTCAGATCCCAGAACAACCTCTGCAATGGCGGTCTGGGCAGCAATGCCATCAATAATCACAGTTTGGCGCCAAAGGTGGCCAACAGTAGCGCTGCCACAGGCAGTCCGAATGGCCAGAAGAAGGGCACCATTGCCCTGTCCCATCTGCCTCAGCGGCCGCCGGTGGACATTGAGTTCTGTGATATCTCCTACTCGGTGGCCGATGGCCACCGGCGGGGTTTCAAGACCATCCTGAAGAGTGTGTCGGGCAAGTTCCGGAATGGCGAAATTACGGCCATCATGGGCCCCTCCGGAGCCGGCAAGAGCACGCTAATGAACATCCTGGCGGGCTACAAGTGAGTTTCAAATACTTTCTTTAATGAGTTCCAATAACCGTATCCCCCACATCTTAACCACAGAACTGCCCAGCTCAGTGGCTCGGTGCTCATCAACAGCAAGGAGCGAAATCTGCGACGCTTTCGAAAACTCTCCTGCTACATCATGCAGGACGACGTGCTGATCGGCAACCTTACCGTCAAGGAGGCCATGATGGTGGCCGCCAACCTTAAGCTGGGCAAGAACATGATCAGCTACGCCAAGGTGGTGGTGGTGGAGGAGATCCTCGAGACCATTGGCCTCAAGGAGTCGGTGAATACGCTGACCTGCAACCTGTCGGGCGGCCAGAGGAAGCGCCTCTCGATCGCCCTCGAGCTAGTAAATAATCCACCCGTGATGTTCTTCGACGAGCCCACCTCTGGCCTGGACAGCTCCACCTGCTTCCAGCTCATCTCGCTGCTGAGATCGCTGGCCAGGGGAGGCCGCACCATAGTCTGCACTATCCACCAGCCGTCGGCGCGTCTCTTCGAGAAGTTCGACCATTTGTACTTGCTGGCCCAGGGCCAGTGTGTCTACGAGGGTCGTGTGAGGGGTCTGGTGCCCTATCTGTCGTCCCTGGGCTACGAGTGTCCCTCGTATCACAATCCCGCTGACTATGTCCTGGAGGTGGCCTCCGGGGAGTACGGCGATGCGGTGCCAAAGCTGGTGCAGGCCGTCAAGAGTGGCGCCTGCAAGAAGTATGCGCACAAGGACTATGTCCGAACGCTGGCCCAAAAGCAGTCCAACCAACAAGAGGTTATCAAGGCGGAGAACGCGGCCATAGCGACAACTGCCACCCTGACCCTGGAGGACGAGAAGCCACCGCTGGAGGACAGAGAGGGAGGGGGACAACTGGAACCTCCGACGGTCGGAGACGATCCCGCAGAGCTGAAACCACCGAAGCTGGAGACGCAGCAATCGCAGAACTCGGATTGCAGCGTTGTCAACATGCCCACGACGGCCCTGGACGACAGCTGTAGCTTCAGCTCCTCGAAGGGCACCCACAATGCAGTGGGCTCGGGACCCAGTGCCGTGGTTGGATGCATGACCTCGCTGCTGGACTCGCACGAAAGCGTCGTCACGCTGCCCAACAAAACGGGCTTCCCCACCAGCGGCTGGACGCAGTTCTGGATCCTGCTCAAGCGCTCCTTCCGCACCATCCTGCGCGACCGCATGCTCACCCACATGCGCCTCTTCTCGCACATCATCGTGGGCGCCATCATTGGAATGATCTACTACGATGTGGGAAACGAGGCCAGCAAGATTATGAGCAATGCCGGCTGCATCTTTTTCGTCTCGCTGTTTACCACCTTCACGGCCATGATGCCCACTATTTTAACTTGTAAGTTGTCTTGGATTTTGGGTTTTCTATAATGGAATTCACTTTTTATTTAATTTTTGGTTATTAGTTCCCACAGAGATGTCGGTGTTTGTGCGGGAGCATCTCAACTACTGGTACTCCCTGAAGGCCTTCTACTTTGCCAAGACATTGGCGGACATGCCGTTTCAGGTGAGTTTAAAGGCGAGAAATTTTGGAAAATTAAGGCAGGGTTGGTCAGGAAATATCGATTACAAAAATTATGTCTAATCCTTAGTTTTTGTAATCTGTTTGTATGCTTAGATTCTACAGCTCTTGTATCCTCCCTATAATAATACCTTTACTCTCTTTCAGATTGTCTTCTCCAGTGTCTATGTCCTAGTGGTGTACTATCTCACCTCACAGCCCATGGAATTGGAGCGCGTCTCGATGTTCGTGCTCATTTGCGTGCTTAACTCCCTGGTGGCGCAGTCACTGGGTCTCTTAATTGGAGCGGGAATGAATATAGAAACGGGTGTATTTCTTGGCCCCGTAACGACGATACCCACGATATTGTTTTCCGGTTTCTTTGTGAACTTTGACACCATACCGGGTTACCTGCAGTGGGTGACGTACGTGAGTTATGTACGCTACGGCTTCGAGGGTGAGTTTATATACTTTTACTGCTTCTTGAGAGGTTTTTTAAATACTTTAAAAATATATCTATTTTTTTGCAGGCGCCATGGTGGCCATTTATGGCATGGATCGTGCCAAGATGCAGTGCAATCAGATGTACTGCCATTATCGGGTGCCCAAGAAGTTCCTCGAGGAGATGTCCATGGATAATGCTCTGTTTTGGGTGGATGCCGTCGCCCTAATTGGGATATTCTTTGCCCTACGCATCGTTGCCTACTTTGTGCTGCGATGGAAGCTGCACATGATTCGTTAAGCGATCGGGGAAATTGTTCATAGCCTTAGGTTATTATCATTATTTAGACATCACCTGTACATACAATATATATGGGGAAAGGGAAGGGGTAGAAAGGGACGGGCAAAATGAAGGAAAGGCGCCAGGAGGAGGAGAAGAAACTGGACTGTAGCTAGGCATAGCTTTCTACCGCATTTTATTCATTCAATTTCTCCCAGACAGAAGGCAGACAGAAGAAGCATTCAACGTTTCTAAAAATATATATCGACTCGACTATATATACAAAACGGAATTTATACACATTCATATATACACATATATATAAATAGGAATGCCCCATCTTACACTTACTTAAACTTACACACCGAGGTATATAAATTCTTGTGACCAAGCAGAAAAGAGTCTGAACTTAAGTAGGTTGAAAAACATACACGAAACCTAAACCAAATTGTAGAGCAGCAACCGGGTTAGAGCTCACTCCTTCCCAGAGACCCTCTTCGTAAAACCCTTTTAAACGAACCATAAAACCCAGTAGAGATTGTGCAATAGCATGGGCCAGGATCAAGAAGCAGGATCAGGAGGCAACCATTCCCTTGTGATAGTTGGAAGGCGGATTTTGGTGATATGAAGCAATTACTATTATTACGAGTGCGGAGAGGAAGGGCAATCGGCGTATATTTGTGATTATTACATTTTAATTTAGTAACTGTGTTTAGTTTAATCTTTTGATACGTCAAACTACATTTATCCATGCCAAAATAAATGCAATTTTAATTTTGAAAAAGAAAAACTCACCATTATTTTCCTTTTTCCCCTTACTTTTTGTTCACCTTTTTACCTATGCCAAAGTCAGGAGCGGTGATCGTAGATCCAAGATCGGTATTACGGGTTGGCAGGGGTTTCTTCTTTCTGGCAAAACGAGTGATAGTTAAGCAACAAAAAAAAAAGAAAAATAATAATATTAATAAGAAAACACTAAACAAGCTACATATTCAGGCTTCTTGAAGGAGTGCCCCCCTTATAAATATATATAACAATATATATATTTAAATATTTATTGTACATTTCGGTAGCTCGTAGCGCATGATATCCTGTAAAATTAATTTAAATTGGTAGAGTATTTTCTAATAAAGAACCCCCCAAATCATCATCAACAAATTGTTTCTAGAAGCTTTTCATTTTCAAATTTTCGCATTTTCCAGAAAAATAAAAAGAAAGCAAGAGTTTTTGGTATATTCTAGTATTTAAAATTTTCAAGGGCCACCTATTGAGTTTCCTTCTAAGTCCTAGCGGGTACAAGAACCCAAGAACTTATTTTGTACACGAACCATTCTGAGTAAAAAAGTCGCCAGATATATATAATTGATATAAAGAGGGCGCCACAGCAAGTTCATTAAGTAAACGGAAGATGGCGAAGCAGTTCAAGGACAAACGGACATAGCTAGATCGACTCGACTGTTGATGCTGATCAAGAATATATATACTTTAAAGGGTCGGAAAGGCCTCCTTCACTGCGTTGCAAACTTCTGACTGAAATTATAATACCCTGCAAAGGTATAAAAATTAATTAAACATAGTGTGTTTCTTCCATGTTTCTTTTTAAAAGCTATAACCAAAATTACTACGGCAGCTATGTATGTACATATGTATATATATGATTTAGTAGTTCGATCTAGCACGGTCCGACTTATATACTCACTCATTCAATTGCTTTTAAACTAAGATTAAAAACAATAATTATTTTTTGTTGTGTATAATTTTGTATATTTACTATATACTCCTCCTAGTCCATACATATTTTGCGTATACCTCACGAGCACAGAGAGTGCCGTCTTCTTTATATATTTATGAATACATATAAAGCTCTAATCAATCCCAGCCGAAGCCGGATGCCTCTTCGAAAGTCTTTGAATAATTCGGAAATCAGTTCTTTAGAGACTTTCAACTTTCGCGGCCTAACAATCTCCTAGTGAAAGGATGCACAGCTTCACTGCATTCTTCCTCTGCGCACTGGCTTCCTGTATCTTCTGGCAAGGATCCTTCGCGGAGGGCCAGTCGGGCTACATATGCCTCATTGAGGATCCGAAACAAAATCAGTGCGACAGCATTTGTCTTACTGAACTAAGCCCACTGCTTAACAAAGTCGCCGAGGCCCAAAACCAAGGGAATACGAACACCCGTAAACCTGTCAACGAAATCAAATCGAAGCTGGAGAGATTGGAGGTGAAAATAGAAGGAGTGCATGCCAAGCTGGAAGGACGATTACAAGGAGTTGAATCTAAGCTGGTAGGACAATTACAAGGAGTGGAAAAGAAGCTGGAAGGACAACTTCAGGAGGTGCAAACAAAACTGGAGGCTAAACTGGGCGAAAGTCTCCTTGCGGTACAAAAAAAGATTGAAAACCAACTTCAGGCGCTTGCAAATCAACTGCAGGCAGTGTCGAACAACAAGATAGATTCTGCCGAGGTGAAAAGTCAATTACAGGCAATATCCAATAAGACGTGTTCAGCCCCCCAACAATCAGACTTTGTCTGGGCAGTCCCAGTTTTACCAACGATTAGTACTCCATCTGGATTCGAGCTAATCGGAACCAGATATTTTAGAATTGTAAATGAAAAGGTGGATTGGGATACTGCTAAGAGAAGGTGTCGTGAGATGGGAGGTTACTTAGCCTCCTTTCGAAATGAAGAAGAATTCAAGACCATTAAACCAAAACTTGACACTTTTAAATTTTATTGGCTAGGCATCAATGATAGAGAGAATGAGGGCCACTTCGTATCTGTGGCCTCACTCAAGCCAGTACCATTTTTAAAGTGGGGTGAGGAACTACAAAGCCACACACACCGTGAGTTGAACTGCGTCTCTTTGTATAATGGCAACATGTGGGACTTCCGTTGTAATGATGTATTTTATTTTATTTGCCAGGCGGACAATGAAACTTAGTAAAATTCGCATTTATAGTTTTAAATAAAGTTTTATTTTAAAATAATAATACCTTGCCATTAATTTACTCAAAAGGGGGTCTTTCTAACATTTCAGCAATATTATTATTTATTTTTCTTTTATTATTTTATTAGATAAAAGTTTTACAAGGAATTTCTGGCCTCTGGTTTAATCATCGAGTTTGGATTTTTATTTAAATTTAAACAATTTATTAAAAGAAATATGTCTTGTAATTCGGTATTTTAAGTCAAAATGAATTCTTGAAAAACAAAACTTGGGTATAAAGAGTTAAATCTTGAGTTAATAAAAATGAAATAAATCAACAAAACATAGCTTTTTTTTTTGTCAGTTTCTTTCACTTTGAATGAAAATGTTGTACAAATGTAGCTTTTGATATAGGTATGTATATATGTACCATACTCATGGACACACAAAAAATAGATTAAAACAATTAGCTGAATACAATACAAATATTTATTCAAAATTATTGTCTTTGGTTCCTTTCCAAACATAAACTGTTTTTATACAAAAAACATTCGAGAAAAATTTCCTAAGTTAACATTTCTGGCTACTTTTTGTTATCAATAAAACATTGTATGGTCTTAATGTTCCACATGTCGGAACATTTTTTTCAGTGTATATATGCTAGTTAGGTACTCCTCCTTGGTAAATATATATAAACGGGCTCGCAGAAAGTGCGGTCATCTTTATAAATAGCTCTTATCAATCCCAACTTAGATCGGATGTTTCTTCGGAAGCAATCGAGGGATTTCGAGAATCCGTTGATAAGAGACTTTCACCTTAACCCATGAACCCCTGATTTACGTCACGCGGCTTAAACAAAGCTCTTAGCAACGAACTGAACTTTTTCCAGCCAAGTGCCAATTGCAAAATTAATTATTTAATAATTTGTAATTGATTTTTGTTTAATATTAATATTGTTTGTCACTAAAATGAATATCTAAGCTTTACGAAAGAATGCAATTTAAACAACGTAATATCAAGATGAAAAACTCGCCCTAATTCAGTTTTTAGTTATATGTTAGTATTTTAATTTTAAGTGTATATTTTTTTTGGTAAAAAAAAATGTAATAAAATAAGGAATATTTTAGCAAAAAAGTCTTAAAAAAAACAAAAGTATATTTGATTTGCAAAAATACATATTTAGAAATATTTCTCACACTTACAATTTATTTTCTTTGCCAAGAAAATTCCACAAAAAATGACAACACTGAGAGAAACCCACATATCCTTTGCAAATAAATATTAAAGCCTCAATATTCAAGTAATTACAAAATTTTTCCAGTGTCCAGGCACACACATACTCGACGGAAGCCTTGTATTTCTAACATCAATATTGCAGCGCCATTTGACATTTTGTTACGACAAGCGGGAGCAGCAGCCGAGGGGGTCGAAACAGGGTTAAAAAAAAGGGTCAGAAAAGGGCTAAACGGGGGGGTAAAGTTCAGAGAGGGTAGGCGGCAAAGATGCAATGGGAAATGTGGGCAAGGAGAGCGGAATGCCATGGAATTGGCGGCTGTAGTTGCAATGTCACCGGTCAAACGGAGTGATTTTTATTGGCTTGTTGCTTTTTCGATTCACTGATAAATTGTTAATGTCGCGACACACACACACAGTCACATGGGCTGGGTAAAATGGCAAACGTTGCAAATTTATTATTTATGTCCCCGCTAAGCTTTGTGCGCCCAGACGGGGAGGCACGGGCTGCTGGTCCAACATTCCGCGACAATTTTAGTACAAAACATAGAAAAGTACACTCAAAACAATGGGGGTATGCATTTTTTCTTTACAATATAATAATGTGTTGTAATATTAAGACTATAAAATAATTAGTAATTTTAATTAAAAACTTAAATGTAAGAAAATGATATATTTTATATTTACAAAAGCATATATTTTATATAAAAAATATATAATTATAAATGTTACTAATTTTTTTTTTTTTTTTTTGTTATTGTATATAAATATTTAATATTTACAAAAAAAAAAGCTTACTGCTTAACTTAAAAATCTAATAAAAAAAAGTTTCCCACAGTGCATTTCCCCCAGGAAATTATGATAGTTTTTAATAAAAAGTTATAAATTTTTTGCATGTGCCAGCACACAAAATTCGAACATTTTCAAGCTGCAATTTCTATAAATCAAACAAATAATTTTGGACAAAGGTTTGGACAGAAATGGGAGACAGTCAGGGGACCCCGGCAATTAATGCCAATTCGGGGAACACAAACAGCAACGAGAGAAGCGCAGTTTGCACTTTAATTAATTAGACATTCATTTGCAGCATTCCCCGAGGCAAGGCCTCTGCTATCTCTCTCTCTGTTTGCCAATTTGTAATGTCCCCTCGGCACCAAGTGGCAGGTGGCAGGAGAAGATCGGTGGCAGGTGGCAGCAGTCAGCAGGCATTATGCTCCGCAGGCGTAATAAATTAGCACAAACATGCCACTAAAATGGCACGCCCATGCCCATGCCGGATGCCCGAAAAGGCGTCCACTGACCCACACCGCTCCCGCTCCCTTTTCCCTCTCCAAAATGCTGTCAATGCAGTTCGCATGCCAATGCAATTCCCATTCTCATCCGAATCCAACTGCACGCCGGGGATTTGGCTTGGGATTTGCGCACAATGTGTTTAGTGGCAGGCAACACCAGAGCCATTCCTGGTGTGGAATGGAGCTCCTGTGACGAGGACAACTAAATCAAATGAAATGTATGCTATGCCCTGCAATGCATAGCCAAGTGACTGAGAGGGTCCAGTTGCCCAGCTGTGCTGGCTCAGGGACTTGGGGTATTAATTGCAAATGCAACTTTAAAATTCAGGTAACCTGC